CACTCTTCAAGTACTGCTGCACGTCGCTGCTCACCGTGAATACGAGCTACACTCTCTTGACTTTAGCACAGTTTTCCTGCAGGGCAGCCTGCACGAGGAGATCTGGCTGCGCCGCCCTCTCGGCTTCACTGATACTTTTCCTCCTGGCACCTAGTGGAGCCTTCGGCGGCCGGTCTACGGTCTCCGCCAGGCACCGCGTGAGTGGCACGACACACTGAGGACTACACTTGCGGTTCTTGGGTTTGCTCCCTCCACTTCTGACCCGTCGCTGTTTCTACGCACCGACACCTTGCTGCCGCCGTTCTACATCCTCGTGTACGTCGACGACTTGGTCTTTGCCACAGCTGACACTGCTGGACTCGCCCACGTGAAGTCTGAGCTGCAGAAGAGACACACGTGCACAGACCTGGGTGAACTGCGCAGCTACCTTGGCTTGCAGATCACCCGGGACAGAGCACGCCGCACCATCACCCTGACTTAGTCACACATGGTGCAGCACGTCCTTCAGCGCTTCGGCTTCATGTACTCCTCGCCTCAGGCCACTCCTCTGTCTACTCGCCACTCGCTCTCAGCTCTGCCTTCGGATGAGTCCGTAGAGTCGAGTGGCCCGTACCCAGAGCTTGTTGGCTGCCTCATGTACCTGATGACCAGCACTCGACCTGACCTTGCATACCCGCTTAGCATTCTTGCACGCTATGTTGCTCCTGGGAGACACCGACCAGAGCACATGGCTGCAGCGAAGAGGGTGTTGCGCTACTTGTGCAGTACGTCGGGTATGGAGCTAGTGCTTGGAGGGCGGAGTCCAGTGGTCCTCACTGGGCACGCAGACGCTTCTTGGGCTGACGACCAGGCTACGCAGCGGTCGTCACAGGGTTACACCTTCAGCCTTGGTTCCGGCTCTGTTTCGTGGCGGGCTACTCGCTCGTCTTCTGTTCTCAGCTCCAGTTGTGAGGCTGAGATCTACGCAGGGGCCATGGCTGCTCAGGAGCTTCGCTGGCTCACCTACCTGCTGAGCGACCTTGGAGCGCCGCCTCGTCTTCCTCCAGTCCTATACGTAGACAACAAGGCCATGCTGGCCTTGTGTCGAGAGCAGAGACTGGAGCACAGAACAAAGCACATTGCTCTCCGCTACTTCCTTGCTCGTGAGCTACAGCAGCGTGGTCAGTTGCGACTTGCGTACGTGGCCTCTGAGGCCAACACTGCTGATGTCCTCACCAAGGCACTTCCGCCTTGTGATCATCAGCGCTTCTGTACCCAGCTGGGTCTTGTGCCTGTCTTGCCTCACTTGCTCTCCTCTTGACCTTCTTTGTACTATTACATATATATATTGCTGCTCTTGCTTGTCTAGGCTTATATATATATGTGTGTACTCCTGCATGTGAACTGGCCTTCTGGCCTTGAACTTGTGCTCGGAATGTGTGGTGACTTTGTGATCCACCCTGAGCTTGCTTTGCTTTCCTTTGCTTGACTGGTCTTGTGACCCCTAGTTCTCCCCCACTTCGCCTATGGGGGTGTGTCAAACATTATATATATGTTGTAGTTGTTTAGGCTACAGTGGGTTAGCCTATAGGGGGTACACAATTCTAGGGTTTCCTACTTGTACTCATTTCACTGTTAGTTCATTCATTCTTGTTCAACACCACAGTCGCCAGCTGTTGCTCGACCGACCCTCGCACCGACTACTCGCATCGTGGCAGAGCCCATGCTGGAACCCTGGAAAATTCTCAACCATCGCGTGGAAGTGACTGCTGCCAGCCGCTCCGTGAAATTACTGTTTCGCTGGAAAGACCGCACGAGCGAGGACGACACGTATGTCGCTGCTGATTCGCTTATGGGACACCCGGTTTTGGACACTTACCTGGCCCGTCGGGGTGTTTCGGATATTCACCCCCTTTCTTAAAGGGGGGGGTAGTGTAAGGAATTTTTCGGATTCCTTACTGGGTCACACTGTACGCGTACAACTCCGATTTTCGGAAAACCAGGCTCGGCCCGCCGACCTCGCCTTCCGAGCCACCACCGCGTCGCCTTCGGGTTTTCCAGCCCCGACCCTGCACCCAACCATCTCGCGACCCCGCGACCTCGGCCTAGCTAACCTTGCTATATTACGGTATGCCTAGGCCTCGTTGTTCTTTCAGACGTTGTAATCAATTCTGCACTATTGAGTTCTGCGCACTCTTTCCTTTCACAACTTATAACAAGGAAAACAGTAGTGGAACAAAATCTCTTCACCTCGCAAATACCTTTCCAGAGCGTGGTTTGGATAAGGGCTGCTTTGTTCCTCGATTTTCCATGACAGCATCGCAGATTACCATCACTGGGGGCCTCCTTTTCTACTGGTCTAGAGAGCAGAGCTGAGGCAGCGGCGTCTCCGTTTCCGTCTCCGTCTTCTGCTAGTGTCCCTCGTTCTCTTCTGGCGCGTCGCGTTAGCAGCCTCCTCGAGACAACCGTCTCTAACGCGTTCGTCCTGTGTCGTCCCCGATATTCTTCTGGTGATTGACCAGCCGCCGCTGCGCTGCCTAGTTTCATAGCTGTTTTAGCAAGACAGTGAAAGTCTCGGTATTATGAACCCGGCGGCCTTATCCACTTGTCGCAGCTCGAAATTTTTGGATCGCAGCTTCGCGAGCACATGCGGCAATGCCGCCAATTTTCAACGTGGGTCAGCCGTTTCGCATTTTCCAATCTGTAGGAATTCGACTAGAAACTGTAGACCGGCGAGCATTGTGTTTCGAAGCAGTACTCGTTCCTCCCTCAGGGATCCATCAGAACTTTCGAGACCCGCAATTTCCGGCCAGCAATCATTCGTCACCGTCCGATCTGGAGCGAATGCACGGTCGTCGCTCAACGGCATCCCGTCTGGGTCTCGGAGAAATGGCAGCGTAGAGAGAGACGTCAGAGCTCCTGCTGTTCGCGAGGAGGGTGAAACAGGAGGGGGTGATGACGGAAGTTCTAAAGGCAAGAATGTGTCTACAACAAGCGATCGGGAACCTGAAAGTCAACGGGAGTCCGGCGAAAACGCGAACAAGCCCAGCTGGTTACCCGATTGGCTTGATCTGACATCGGACGACGCCAAGACCGTTCTGATCGCGTTTGGAATATCGCTGGTGTTCCGATGGTTCATCGCGGAACCACGCTTTATTCCGTCACTGTCAATGTTTCCGACATTCGACATTGGTGACAGAATCATTGCGGAGAAGGTGAGCCATCTGTCGTTTAAGTCTTCGAAAAAAGTTGATACGGGAGGAAATTGAGAATGCCTTATTGCTGAAATGCGAGAAACTCCTCAAATTTCCTAGTCCTGGAACATACATGTGGATTTTCTCAGAGAAATCCTGTTTCTGACAGGTTGAACAAGCTCAGAACGGTATGTGCGGGCTTGAACTTATTCAATCTTCCCTGCCGTGCAGATCTCCTACTATTTCCGGGAGCCAGAGGTTGACGACATTGTCATTTTCAAGGCACCCAAGGTTCTTCAGGTACGCATTTTTGTATCACTATAGGTTTTTTCGCTTACAAAATGTCCGGATTATGGTGGTGGTGGTTGTAAGACTCACCATGCGAGCTTTCTACATGCAGGAACGAGGGTACAGTGCAGGCGAAGTATTTATCAAGCGAATCATAGCTACTGCTGGCGACGTTGTGGAGGTGAGTGCTGTCTCCTTGTATCCCCACCTGTCTTTCCTGCTTGCTCCGTAATTGCGTGGCAAGTCGCATCTTTATGGGACATTTTCTCGTCTGTCTCTTCATGACTCATGCAGGTCAAAGCTGGGAAAACATATGTGAATGGTGTCCAGAGGAGTGATGAATTCACTTTCGAACCACCTGCATATGATATGAAGCCGCAGGTACGCACCCTTTGTTGACGCCACTCTTGTTTTTGCGCATTCTGGCGCCGTCTTCATGATTCCATCCTGTTTTTCCCAATATCAGTGAACCCCACCAGCATTTTTCTCTTGCATAACCTAACATGCGCCGCTCACAAGAAGCCTCCTGTTACTCCCTTGCACAGTATGTCCCACCAGGATACGTGTTTGTCATGGGCGACAATCGTAACAACAGCTACGACTCCCACATCTGGTAGGCGGCATACTTGCTTCAGCTTTCAGGCTCTCTCCATGCCTGCATGCTACCATCATGGAATCACTTGGCTCTTTTCTAATACGTAGCTAATAGCTAACATGTATTTCAACATTGGTTCTAAATCTCTTCGCTGTACGTGAGCAGGGGCCCTCTACCGGTGGAAAATGTATTGGGCCGATCGATTTACAGATACTGGCCTCCTAACAGACTGGGGTCGACAGTTTTGGAAGAATCAGCTGAAGTCATTGCAGGGGCTCCTGCTCCTCAATTGAAGTCCTCGTGAGACTAAGATCATGGTTCGATTTTGTCTCAAGACACCCCTTCTCTTGAAAGAGGATTCGTGGGAATGCACCGCTGCTTGTTTGCAGTACCACTGTACTGTGTGAAAAGTTCAGTGTGTTGAGTTGACTGATTGATGTGTACTGTGCTGTGGGCTGCATACCACTGGCTATGAAGAGGCCACAAATACGTAAATTGTGCATGATTGCATACATTCTCTTACAGTACAACACTGAAGCAGATAACAATCTGGTCTTAGGTAGATGTGCACCTGCAAATCCTATCTAAGCACAATGCAGCAGTGTTGTAGGTACAGTACAATGATTCAGTTGCATGTCTCAAAAGTGTTCACAAACAAGCAACTATGCTGACCAAAACCTGTCAATCAACAAAAATACAACAACCAAGTCAGTTTGTTAAGCTTTCTGCTTCTGTACTCTCTTTTTGGCAAACTCCACAAACCGTTCTAGGTCGGCCTGAATAATGCTCTGCACCAGTGGGGCTAGGCTCTGACAGGGAAGGAGAAGAGGAAAGGGGGGTGGGGGACAAACGGGAGTGAGGAGGAAAGAGGAATGAGAGAGCAGACCGAACAAATACCACGAAGCACTCAAAGTCGGCCTGAATGATGCACTGCACCAATGGCGCTAGGCTCTGATGGGTAAGGAGATGAGGGGAGAGATGGGGGCGAGGAAAGGGGAGTGAGGAAGAAAGAGGAATGAGGGATCAGACTGTGCAAACTCCACGAATTGCTCAAGGTCGGCCTGAATGATGCTCTGCACCAATGGCGCTTGGCTCTGATGGGGAAGAAGAGGAGGAGGGGGGGTGGGGGAAAAAGGGGAGTGAGGAGGAAAGAGGAATAAGAGAGCAGACCGAACAAATACCACGAAGCACTCAAGGTCGGTTTGAATGATGCTCTGCACAAATGGTGATAGGCTCTGATGGGGAAGGAGAGGAGGAGAGGGGGGGTTCAGGAAAAGGGGAGTGAGGAAGAAAGAGGAACGAGGGGGTGGAAAGGGGTACGGTGCGGAGAAGGGAAGCAGGGATGAGAAGAGCAAATGAAAAGCCATAATGAGAAACTTAAAACCTGACTTTGATTCTGGCTGAGCAACAGATGGCCAGGCTGTAGCTGGATCAACTGTGGTGCAGAGGAATCGTGAACATTGGAAGAAACACACACACATACACACACACATATACACACACACACACATACACACACACACACATACACACACATACACACATACACACACACACACATACACACACATACACACACACATACACACACACATACACACACACATACACACACACATACCCACACACATACACACACACACATACACACACACATGCACACACACATACACGCACACACACACACACACATACACACACACATACACACACACATACACACACACACACATACACACACACATACACACACACATACACACACATACACACACACATACACACACACATACACACACACATACATACACACACACACACACACACACACACACACACACACACACACACACGAAAACAAAACTACTACTAGAAGGTGAAAATATCTGAGATGGATGAAAGGCGAAGAAGTTGGGGACAAGTGAAGGCTGAAAGAAACGTACGTTCGCGACAGGGACGAGAATGCCGGGCACCTCATAAGAGATTGTCATCTGCAAGGATGAGCAGCAGGGAGGGGGGGGTTGGAGGGCAAGGAAGAGAGGGCGGTGAGAGGGGGGGGGACAAGTGAAGGCAAAGAAACATACATTTGCGACGGGGACGAGAATGCCCGGCACCTCATAAGAGATTGTCATCTGCAAAGATAAGCAGCAGGTGGGGGGGGGGGTGGAGGGGCAAGGAAGAGAGCCCGCTTTTGAGTCGACTCAATACAGACCTCATAAGAGATTGTCATCTGCAAAGATAAGCAGCAGGGGGGGGGGTGGGTGGAGGGGCAAGGAAGAGAGGGCGGTGAGAGGGGGGGGAAGGGAACAGCACATGAGGTGGGTGTGTTTTTTGAGAATTCTCTAAGATGAGCAGCAGGGGGGGGGTGGAGGGCAAGGAAGAGAGGGCGGTTGAGAGAGGGGGGGTTGGGGAGGGAGAGGGGACTGCACATGAGGTGGGTGCAAATACAGCATGTCAAACATTCCAAATAAATCTACTGCAGGGGAATGTAAGGAGGAGAGTGCTGGCGCGAGGACTGCACCACAAACCGCACTAAACCATGCCACACCGCAGTATCTCCAGTTGGCAGTCCTGAGGACCAGTGGCGCCATTGCAGGTGGAAAAAACAGAGACTCAGAGGAAAACTACCACACCACACCACGTCTCACCAGACCGCACCGCACCACACCACACCACACCACACCACACCGCACCGCACCACACCATAGTACCTCCAGCTTGCAGCCGTTAGGACCACTGGGGAAGAAACGAACGGCCCCTCTGTTGGGGAGTCCATCCAGGGATCGCCAGTGGATCTTCTGATGGTGGATGGGCTGGTGGGGGGAGATAGGGAGAAAAAGAAGGGGTACAGGGAGGAGAAAGGCAATCAAACATGCTGTATGCACAGGTGCTGGGGAGACCATCTAGGGATCTCCAGTGGATCTTCTGATGGTGTATGGGCTGGTGAGGGTAGAGGCGTGAGAGGCAAAGGGGGAAGCATAGAAAGAGAGGATGGGGTGTGGGGGGCGGCAGTCAACAAATTGCTGGCTCTGCTGTTGGGGAGACCATCCAGTGATCGCCAGTGGATCTTCTGATGGGCTGGTGAGGGGGAGGTGATGGAGGGGCAGAAAGAGAGCATGGAGAGCATGGAGAGCATGGGTGATAAACTTTACCCTTCTCCCACCCCGTTTCCCCTTCTCATGCCCCTCTACCCTCCCTCCTCCCACTCCCCTGCCCTCCCCCCTCCGCCTCACCTGCAGGTTCTTGGCAAAACTCGTTGTAGCAAATAGATTGTTCCCGCCCTCCCCCCCTCGCAAATCCGTGCAGATCATACCTGCCCTCTCTCAGCCGCACCTGTAGATTCTTGGCGAGCCAGGAGAACTCGAGGTTCTGCCCCAACGCTTTGTAGGACTTAGTTCCACCCGACCCCCCTTCCACTTTCCCCGCCTTTCCTCTTTCCCCCTCCCCACTCCCCCTTCCCCCTTATTCCCCCACACCTGCAAATTCTTGGCGAGCCAGGAGAACTCGAGGTTCTGCCCAAAGGCGGTGTAACGGAGGGTCCACGTGGAGAGCTCTGGCTTGTCGTCCCGCACCTGGGGGGATGGGGGCGAAGGGGAGAAAAGATGGTGCGGTCAGGGGGAGAGGCGGGGGAAAGGATAGGGGGACGAACGAGGAGGGGGAGGGGGAGGAGGGAAGTGGCACAGAGAAGGGGAGGGAGAGGTGGTGGGGGGAATGCGCGAAATCGGGGATGGGCGGAAGTTATCCATGGCATACAGGGATGGAGTAGTAAGAAGCACAGGTCAGCTTATAACAGGGATAAAAACCACTCACTTTTACCAAAGTGATCCAAGGCATTCATGAAGGAATAAGCACGCGGCCCATTTATAGGTCACCTTATAATGCGGATAGCAATCACTCACTTTTACTGAAGCAATTCAGGGCATCCGGGAAGGGATGAGCTCTCAGCCCATCCACAAGTAAGCTTATCCCGGGGATAAAAGAAGTACTTACCTTCACTGAAGCAATCCAGGGCATCCAGGAGGGGAAGAGCTCTCGGTCCAACCACAAGTAAGCTTATAGCGGGGGTAGAATTACTTACTTTTACTGAAGCAATCCAGGGCATCCAGGAAGGGATAAGCTCTCGGTCCAACCACAGGTCGAAGGCCAATGGGAGCGGGACAGATGGCGCATCCACCACGGCCCTGCCACGTCAGCGCATGAAATGACGTGGCAGGACAGGACCGGACAGGTGAGGTGAACGGATGGCATGATACAGACTGATGAAACCAAAGGTGCGACTGCAGCAGCAACACGCATCTTAACTCAATACAGAGTGAACAAGGAGTCAATACAAGCGCATCTGCACTCACACCAGCAGGGTAGGTACGTAAGCATTTCACTTAGTGAGCACTTACCACAAGCGCACACTTACGCACTCACTTGTTTTCAAGCCACGTGGCCGAAACCAGCAGACCACGACGTTGAGAAGGCCTCCCAACACGTGGCACAGCGCTGTTGGTTAACGATCCTTGTTCAGCAATCCTGATTCTAGCTCCTGAAAACCCGGAGCCGAGGGACAATGGGCGGGAAGGACGAGCCGCAGCTGCGAGGACTGGCCCGGACGTACGTGCGCGAGAGAGAGGATAGCTGACACGTGGCACGTGGCCATAGGCGGAGTATTTCGGTGATTGAAACCCGGTAGCGGTTGATGCGGCGGCTGACGTGGCAATCGCAGAGCTTGCAGCGGCCATATCGACAAATTGGCGCGGGGCGGGATCGACGATTGAAGAAAATTCCCGAATTTGGTAAATCCAGTATAGCAACTCTTTTGGGCGTTACGGACTGTTCTGCCGGCACGAGGCGCTGACGCCAACTAGCGGCCGTGAAAACAGGCCGTTATTGCAAATCACGGCCAGTCGCGCGTCGTGTGGCTAGACGCGACAATCTCGAGGGAGAGGAATCTAGAATACCGTATGTAGATTACGAAAGAGAGCGAAATATATGCGTAAAAGGTGACTGGTCAGCAAAAACGTCCACTGATAACCTTGGGAATGTCGTAGAAGTCTGATGGATTGTTGTGACCAGAGGAATCCACGCTGTGCGTCTTCTCTATACCGAGGATAAATGAGATGCAACTGCAGCTAGCCAACTGCAGCTCGACACGCGTTGCAGAGCAATTGAGACTCGATTGTGAAACGTCACGACACCGTTTCGCCACGACAGCATCACTGGTGCCCAGTGTAGAATGCGAACATCCTTAGTTGCAATTTTTTTTATCGAAACTGTCAAACAAAACGCAGCAAAGTTCAACCAAAGAGAAAAATAAATCACGATAATTCGAATCTCAATTTTGAAAGTTTGGTGGGACAGGAGGCGTTCTTTTCCCACCTCCCCCACACTGCCCTTCATGCATCTGACCTGGGCCCGAACCAGCACCAAACGAACCTCCACCCGGACCATTATTTGCCATCCCTGGCCCAGCATGACCCCCCGGACCTCCCATTCCCCCAAAAGGCGGGTTATTTCCCATATTGCCCGGAGGCTGAAATTGATTTTGCGGCTGAATGGGTGCCTGGGGTTGGTTCCCGTGCTGCTGGCGGTTCGGTGGGGACTTGGGTCGCAGAGCCTCAATCTCAGGCGTGGTAACCAGCAGGTGCGGCGCTCCAGGCGGGGGATTGCCTCGGCCCGTGCCTTGCCAAACCTTCCCGTCTGGTCCGGCAAAGAGCTTGCAGTAGGTCTGGTAGGAAACACATACCAAGCCGGAACGGAAAGGGTGTGGTGAGGACGCTGAAAAAAGTGAGAATCTCAAGGACGCTGAACGAGCAGTCTGAGTGGTCTGCTATACATGTCATTATAAAGGCAACAAAAACACCATAGATGCACACACGGAGAATACAACAGCATGAAGACAAGCATGCTAAACAACGTAGGGAAAAGAGCAAAGACAAAATTGAAGTCGAAAAGTGGGGGGAGGAGGGAGGGGGGAGGGGGAAGGAGGGAGGGGGGAGGGGGCAAAAGGATAAGTCAGAACTGGGGCGTGACGTGACCAATCACCTGTGGGTTGAAGTTTGAGGAGGTGAGAGATTTCCCCACGGTCAGCCAACCTGCCCGGATATTGTGGTCAGCGCCAAACAATTCTATGCGCCGTCGCCCGAGAGCAAAGTGCTCGATGAGGGAGTAGAGCTCCTCAGGCTTCTCCGTGCTCCCTGAAAAGGAGAGTAAAAGTGGTTGAGAGAGGTTGGAGTGGTTGGACGAGGTTGAGAGACGTTGAGGGCAGTCAAAAGTGGCTGTAAAAGGAGAAGAAGGGACGAAACAGTCTAGGAGCGAAGTCATTGATGAGGAAGTTAAATTTCTCGTGCTTCTTGAAGACAAGGACAATGAAAGTGGTTGAGTGCGGTTAAAAGGGTGGAGCGTGGTTGAGAACGCTTGAGAGCGGTTGAAAGAGGTGCACTGGGGACGAGAGTGATTCAACAAAAGAGCCAAAAATGGTGGCTGCTCCAATATAAGCACATGAGCTACAGTCACTTACCAAAGGGCGGCTGCTCCGATATAAGCACATCAGTGTCAATGTTAGCGTGAATGACGTGGCCGTCCGTGCTCCTCCTGACAGTGCCTCTGATGCCCATCAGACAGTGCTCCTGGGGGAGTCGAGAGGTTGGAAGGTTGAAATGACGATGAAAGAGGCCGATAAAAGCAGATCAGAGTCAATGCTGGCGTGAATGACGAGGCCGTCCGTGCTCCTCCTGACCGTGCCTCTGATGCCCATCAGACAGTGCTCCTGGGGGGGAGGAGGAGGGGGAGAACGGGGGGTGAAAAGGGGGAGACAATAGAGAGAGTGATTGTGAGGCACAGGAAGAGAGAGATTGGCATGAGCACATCTGTGTCACTGTTGGCATAAATGACGTGGCCGGCCGTCTGTGCTCCTCCTGACAGTGCCTCTGATGCCCATCAGACAGTGCTCCTGGGGAATGTGGAGGGAGGATGGATGTCAGGAGGGTACTAAGGTCTCAAAACATGGATGTCAGGAGGGTACTAAGGTTGGGTAAAAGCAGCCGGAGGTGACTTTTGAGTTTGAGGAGGGCGCTCTCCACTCAAAAGGCACCTCAGGTTGGGTAAAAGCAGCCGGGGCAGAAGGTATTGCTAGTCGCAGGTAAGGGAAGGGACTATGTACCAAATCCACTAGGAAAATATGCCAAATGGTGTACATGAGACGGAAATTTAGGCGCCTCAAAATATGTCATAAGGCGTACATGAGCTTGTACCAGAGCTATTGGGCCCATCCATTCACAAGCACCAAAATCTGCCTGCAGTCGCATGCATACTCCACATCCCACACCGCACAGAACCACACTACACCACGCCAAACCAAACCATACTGTGCCGCACCATCCTGCACCGCACTGCACCTTGGAGTGTTGGAACAGCGTCTCAGACGTGTGCCCCCAGGGGCTATCAGGCTTCTCTCGGTTGGTCTTCACCCAGCAGATGTCCTCACAGCGGCGAAAGCCCCACTGGGTGTGAGGGAGAGAGGGGCGGAGGAGGATAAGAGAGGAAGGAGAGAAGGAGGATGAGAGGGTGAAGGAACTGGCAGCGGCAGTAGATACACTCCGGTTGGTCTTCTCCCAGCAGATGTCCTCACAGCGGCGAAAGCCCCACTGGGTGTGAGAGGGGGAGGGAGGAGGGAGAAGTGTGAGAGAAAGGTTGAGGAAGCGGATGAGAAAATGTGGAGCTGGCAGTAAAAGTAGATGCCCTCTACCCAGCCTAATCTGTCTTCACCCAACAGAAGTCCTCACAGCAGTGAAAGACGGCATTCCAAACGTGTACGGCTCTTGAAGTGCATGTGGAAACACAGAGGGAGGGTCGCATACGTTTCTGACAACTCTGAAGCCTTTGGGAGAAACATCCATTCCAGGCACAAGGAGGTGAGGGAGGAGGGGTGTACCTTCTGTGTACCTTCTGCGTACCTTCTGCGTACCTTCTGTGTACCTTCTGCGTACCTTCTGCGTACCTTCTGCGTACCTTCTGTGCACCTTCTGTGTACCTTCTGTGTACCTTCTTCAAGAGCACCCTTTTGGAGCACATCCAACAGAGGGGGGAAGGAGGGGAGGCGTAACTTGTTGCGACACACCCATTTCAAGCACATGCAAGGGTTCAGAGCGGGGCGACCCTCTGTTTGAGATTGGGTTCAGAGCGGGGCGACCCTCTGTTTGAGATTGACTTTGAGAATTCTCAAACTCAATCTCAAACAAAATGGGTTCAGAGCGGGGCGACCCTCTGTCAAGCATGCGCGTATGGGCGCACCATTTGGCATACCTTCTTGAGGCACATGCGCCCATACTCCAACCCCTCTGCATCCCCCACCCACAGGAAGACGAAAGAAGGCGTGTCGGCTATGGCCTGTGGGGGAGGGGACGATGTGAGGAGGGTGGGGAGGGTGGGGGGGGGAGGAGGAGGAATTGGGTGAGGAGACGGAGCATAAGTATCGACCTCTTTCCCCACCCACAGGAAGACGAAAGAAGGCGTGTCTGTAATGGCCTGCTGGAAGGGGGACAGGAGAGGCATGGGGGGAAAAGAAGCAGACAAGGAAAACGTGAGGACGTAGGCAAAGGCACCACGAAGACATGGCCTTTCGAGGCGCCTCAAAAGGCACCGCAAGCATGTCTTTGTGGTGCCTTCGCCTACGTCCTCAAAAGGCACCGCAAACACGTGGCCTTTCCCTACATGGCTTCGCCTCTTTCTGTCTTTCCAAGCTTGTTGCTCCTACTCGCAGTTCCTTACCCGTTCCTATGTAAGTAGACGACTTTTGAGACGTCTCAAAAGCTTTCTGTCTTTCCAAGCTTGTTGCTCCTACTAGCAGTACCTTACCCGTTCCTACCCTCCAAGATCAAACCTCCCCTGGTGGTGCCTACCTCGATTCTCAGTGCCATGATTTCTTGCGGCGTCCACCACTTAATATCTTCCCTTATCCCTGGTGCCGCAGGACGATATCCTGCGGACGATATCCTGCCCCACCTGGATTATTTGGTACTACTGGTATCCTCGATACTCCTCCTAGCCTACCGTCACTACCAAATAATCTCCTGGCGTTTTCTACCTCAATCCTCAAAGCCATGATCTCTTGAGGTGTCCACCACTCGATTTCGTCCCCCGTGCCCGGTGCTCGCCGCACATACTCCCTCTCTAACCTACTGGCAGTGCCTGAGTCCCTGAATCAGAGTTGACTTTTGAGTCGACTCAATCACACACACCTCAATCCGTAATGCCATTATCTCTTGAGGCGTCCACCACTCTATCTCATCCCCCATGCCTGGTGCCCGCCTCACATACTTCTAGCTTCCCCCAGTTCCTACCTACCTCCCCCAGATCGTACCTCAATTCTCAGCGCCATTATTTCTTGAGGCGTCCACCATTCTATCTCATCCCCCATGCCTGGTGCCCGCCTCACATACTTCTAGCTTCCCCCAGTTCCTACCTACCTCCCCCAGATCGTACCTCAATTCTCAGCGCCATTATTTCTTGAGGCGTCCACCATTCTATCTCATCCCCCATGCCTGGTGCCCGCCTCACATACTTCTAGCTTCCCCCAGTTCCTACCTACCTCCCCCAGATCGTACCTCAATTCTCAGCGCCATTCTTTCTTGAGGCGTCCACCATTCTATCTCATCCCCCATGCCTGGTGCCCGCCTCACATACTTCTAGCTTCCCCCAGTTCCTACCTACCTCCCCCAGATCGTACCTCAATTCTCAGCGCCATTATTTCTTGAGGCGTCCACCATTCTATCTCATCCCCCATGCCTGGTGCCCGCCTCACATACTCCTCCCAGGGGGGATCGATTAAAATGACATCGAATTTGGTGCCGAATATTTCAGGAGTCAACTCGACCTGGGGGAGTGTGTGTGGGGGGGAGTGTGTGGGGGGGGGGGGGGAAGAGGCTGTTCGATGACTGATTGGCTTGAGACGCCTGATATGATATTACCCATGCGTGTGGTTGGTTACCCTGTTACCCACGTTACCTGGTTACCTGATTACCTGGTTACCCAGTTACCTGTTTCGAATCCATCTGAGGGTACACAGGCGGAGTAGTAGCAAGGTTACATGCATAGTAACATCACACACCTTCATTGCTCACAGTTACCAGTTTCAGATCCAAAAGAGGCTACACAACAACGCTGGTTACCCGGTTACCTGTTTCAAATCCATCTGAAGGTACACAGGAGGCGTGGTCGCATCCGCCACACTCCTTGGAGCACCTATTAAACGAGCCTACATGCATCATGGCTGGTAACCCGGTTACCTGTTTCAAATCCATCTGAAGGTACACAGGAGGCGTGGTCGCATCCGCCACAATCCGATCCTTCCTCGTTATAAGCTCCTTCAGCTTCGGATACTCCTCAAACCTATCAGAGACGTCCATATCGCGTATAAAGTTCTGCGGCCTGTATCCCGTATCCACAAAGTGTTGAGAATAGTCGTTCTGCGCCCCCCTAGACTTCCCCCGCGTTGCCACATACCCCATGCGCCCCCCTGGCGTTACCATGCCGCCCCTTCCTCCCATGCCTCCGCCCATCCTTCCGCCCATTCCCCCGCCCATGCCTCCGCCCATGCCTCCACTCATGCCTCCGCCCATCCCTCCGCCCATGTGCGGGCCTCCAGGCCCTCCCGCGCCCATCTGGCGGTTTTCCCCTCCCCCTCCTCCTCCGCCTCCGCCTCCCCCTCCGCCTCCGCCTCCCCCTCCGCCTCCGCCTCCCCCTCCGCCTCCGCCTCCGCCTCCCCCGCTTCCCCCGCCTCCTGCCCCCGGCCCCGGCCCCCCTCCGCCCATGGGCATTCCCCCAGGCGGACCCATGCGCATGCCCCGTCCCCCCATTCCGCCCGGACCTCCCCCCATCTGCATACCTGGACCTCCGCCCATGGGCATTCCGCCTCCGCCCATCCCCCCTCCGCCCATTCCGCCTCCGCCCATCCCTCCGCCCATGGGCATGCCGTCTCCGCCCATAGGGGGGCGCCCTGCGCCCATAGGCGGACCTCCCCCTCCGCCCATAGGCATCCCTCTTCCGCCTCCCCCCGCCATCATATCCATGCTTCCGCCCATTCCCATGTTCCCCATCCCGCCCATCCCCCCCATGCTTCCCATTCCGCCCGCTCCCCCCATATTCCCTATCCCCATGCCCATATGCCCCATGCCCATTCCCATACCCATCCCCATGCCTCCCCCCATCCCCCCGCCGCCCATCCCCCCTCCGCCCATGCCTCCCCCCATGCCCCCCATACCTGGCCCCATCGGTCCCCCCATATGCCCCATGCCCATCCCCCCCATTCCCATCGGCCCCATCTCCCCTCCCATGCCTCCGCGCCCCATCCCGCCTCTCCCCCCATGTGCGCCACCCCCAGCTTCCCCCGCTCCTCTTCCGCCAAAACCCCCGCCGCCATCAAAACCCCCGTCCCCAAACCCGCCATCCCTCCGCCCTCCGCCCCACCCGTATCTCCCAGGTTCCCCCCAAACCCTTCCGAAACCCCTGTCGTCCTCTTCCCCCGCTCCCCCTTTTCTCTTCCGCTCGTCCTCCCCCGCGCCTTCCCCCAGGCCATTCCCCCAAGCCCGATCCTTCCCCTCCTCCCTTTCCGCCGCCCTTCCCGCGCCTTTATCGGACCCCCCCGCTTCTGCTCCCCCTTCCTCTCCATTTCCCCCTCTGGCGGAAAAGCTTCCGCCGTTCCCCATCACGTTAGGGTTAGACCCCCTGACGTCATCTATAGGTCCCTGCTCCGCACCCCAGCCGCCTTCGCGGAAACCGGTCCTACCTCTGTCCTCCATACAGTCCAAAGTGCACAGTGATACGAGCGTCGGTAACTGTGAAATTCACGGAAAGCTAACGAACTAAATAAAATCGGTGGCTGTATCGACCCCTATTTTGAAAGATTCTGACAGAAAAGAACAGATAGCGACAAGCGAAGGAGCGCTATGGCCGAAACCGATTTCCGTCAGAAGAAGCGACTGTCGTGCGATGACGAACCTTCTAATCTTGAACTTAGCTGTAACCCGCGGCACGTAACTAGTCCGAATGTACGTGACATTGGGAAGATCGAGTAGGATGTTCGAGGGGAAGGTTTTCACAAAAATGATGAGTCGCGAGGTTGCGGAACAGTCATTGTCGTTTTACTGTAGGGAAAAGCTTCTCGTGTGTTGATACCGCTTATGGTATGAAAGTTCCAATATTTGCTAACAAAACAAATCTGTACACCAATTAGCACATATCCAGACTGTCCATGACGAACCCACCCAACCCAGTGCATACCTATTTACAGATCAAACAGAAAATGACAAGTGAAACTTAGTATTAATGCTCTGGGAGTCTGGGCTGGGGGATGAATGGGGCCCATTTGATAAAGGGCACGAGAGACAGGGAGAGTTGATGCTATGAGCATGCAGCAACACTGCAGAGAAGAGGCAAGCTAGAATGGGGTGGAGCTCGGCAGGGCTACAATAGCGAGCTGATTAGAGTGAGTGTGAGCGTGAGTATGAGTGTGAGTGATTCTGCGGGTTAGACTGAACCTGTGGGTTAGAGATAGCCTGTAGGTTAGAGCAGGTTCAAGCAAACCTGTGGGTTAGAGCGAAGCTGTGGGTTAAAGCGGAGCTGTAATTTAGAAGCTAGAAGGCTCTCGGGAGGCGAATGGAGCCCATTTGATGGAGCGCGAGGGAGACAAAGAGAGTGGATGCCACAGCATGCAGCACCACTGCAGAGAAGAGGCATGCTAGAATGAGCGCTGAGGTGGGAAGGGCTAGGATAAGCAGCACGGCTGATTGAACATCTGTGGAGAGTAGATTTGTATGGGTTGAATGTGAGCCGTTGATCGATGGCAAAAGGTCAGGCGGAAATTGGTGGGGTGCAAGGAATGGGAGGAATGAGAATACGGGCATCGAGGGCATGGGCAATTGAAGATTCGGTGGCGGAAAGGGAGGAACAAGGAATGCGGTGGTATACGGTGAGGATGATGCAGGTGCGGTGATAATGGGTGTAGATGCCGCAAAAACTGTCGTCACCGGTGTAATTGGTATAAATGGTGTAGACGATGGTATACCCGCATGCAGCAGGTTATGAAGCATAACATTTTGGATGATCCCTGTAAGCAGGAAGCATGCTGCAGCGAGGGAGGAGAGGACACCCAGGAGGCCGAAGTTGAGGGCGAGATAGGCGTGGGAGTAGCGACGTAGGAGTCGGAGCGTCATGGAGAGAGAGGCGAGGAGGGGCGATGGAGTCTGCACTGACACCGATAGGAGCACTCTGCAGGCGCGGAAGGGACGGGGACCGGGGGGGGGAGGGCGGGTAGGTTCGCGGAAGAGAAGGGACAGGAGACAGAGGGAGGTGAGTGAGAAGGAGTGTGAGGAGGCAGGGTGCAGCGAGGGAGGAGAGGACCCCCAGGAGGCCGAAGTTGAGGGCGAGAGAGGCGTGGGAGTAGCGGCGGAGCAGACGGAGGGACATCGAGAGAGAAGGAAGGAGGGGCGATGGGGTTTGGACTGAGACCGATAGGAGCACTCTGTAGGTGAAAGAAGAGGCAAGGGAGGGTTTGGAGGGGGGAGGAAGAAGCGGGGCGTGAGACAGAGGAGGAGGGAGGTGAGAAGAAGGGGCGAGAAAAGGAAGAGGATAGGATTGGAATTCTGAACAAGGGTCTCACATGGTGAGGATTTTTGAGGCGCCTCAAAAATTGGAATTCTGAACAAGGGTCTCACATGGTGAGGATTTTTGAGGCGCCTCAAAAATTGGAATTCTGAACAAGGGTCTCACATGGTGAGGAGGAGCAGTGCGAAGTCGAGGTGAATGGCGGTCACCACCCCGAGCACCACGGGAGTGCTGAAATCAGTGAACTCAAAGAGAGGCGCCACCGCAAAGGCCACGGCAAGGAGAGTTGATGCGATGGCTGAGACGATGAGGAGCGAGGGGAAGAAGGCTGCATCGAAGTTGTGAGAGGCAAGCCTGAGAGGGGGGGGATGGAGCGGATGGGGGCCGAGGGGAGAGGAGGGCTTTACATGTTTCAGAACTACGGCGAGCAGTGTGAGAGGATGAAGGCGAAATGCAAGTGGCGTGAGTTCTAGCAGCAGCTGTTGTTTGCGATCGAGGGGATGAAGGGAGAGGGGAGAGGGAAGAGGGGGGCTGTAGATAGTTTCAGAACTACAAGGAGCAGCGTGAGAGGGCATGTGAGAGGTTGAAGGCGAAATGCAGATGGGGTGAGTTCTAGCAGCATCTGTTGTTTGCGACCCACCCAAAGGATCACCTGAAAGAGCTTTGCAGCAGTTGCCACTGTGCATGCCACGTCAGCATCTCATCCTCCGATCCCAGAATCAGCCGCTGATGTGGACGAGATCCTGCCACGTAGCCCCTAGACAGCCCTCTTGATAAACCTCCCCTCCCTTCTGCTCCTATAGCAGCTTCTGAACCTAGCATAACTTCGTTTTCCGAACTCAAAATGGCTCGGTCTCCTGAAACTGCGCTTTCTCCTGAATAGGCTGCTTCTCTCGAAGAAGCTTCTACTCCTGAGGCAACGGCAGCCTCTCCACTTCCTGATATAACGCCTTTGCAACTCTCTAAGGAGTGGTTAGATCCTATTGCTGCTGGCATTGCTGCTACAACTGCTATTGAGTCGACTCCAGAGGCAATGCCTGCCTCTCCACTTCCTGATAGAACCCCCTTGCAACTGTCCAAGGTTTGGTTAGTTCCTAGCGCTGCTGGCACTGCTGCTGCAACTGCCAATGCTGGTGGTGCAGCTGCTGCCTCTGCTGCCAAAACTGCCGCCGCTGCTGCTGCTTCTGCCTGCTGTTCATATTGTGTTATTTCCCCCTGCGGCTGTGGTTCCACCTCTTTTGGTCTCACAACGCCTTGCTCACATTCCTCTCCCTCCTGCTCCGCCTGTCCCTCTTCCTCTCCCTCCCCCTCTTCCGCCACCCCTCTCTCTCCCTCACTCTCCGCCTTGCCTTTTTCTCTTTTCTCTGCTTTCCTCCCTTTCTCTCTCTCCTGTCGCTCCTGCTGCCCTTCCCCATGACGACACCCCCTTTGCACCCGAATCATCGCCCCTTTACCAGCGACAGTAGCTTCGAAGTGACTCTCTCCCCCCTGCTCCCTCTCTCTTCCCCCCACTTCCTTCCCCTTCCCCCCTATGTTCCCGTCGGTTTTCCCTTCCAGCCGCCCCTCTTCGAGTTGCCCCTGTTCAAATCGCCCTTCTTCTCCCCACTCCCTCACAGAGTGACAAACATCTACAATCTCCTCCTCACCACCCTCACTCCCACTACTCTCCTCACTCCCCTCTCTCACTCTCCCTCTCTCCCCCACACCCTCCCCTTCCCCCACTGCTATCGGGAGGTGCATATAGAGAGCGACAAACGCAGAGACCAGCAGCCACAGCAGCAGCAGACCAACGCAGGCAAGCCACAGCACGCCAGACCCCACTATAACCTCCTCGCCTTTAGTCACACCCCAGGGTGCTAGCGCCACCCTCCATTCCGCACAGCACTGTGCTACCGGACCTGACACGGAACCGGCTGCCGTACCTCCGCCTGATTCTGCCAAAGCTGACCTTCCTGCACTATGCACCACCGAACCAGTAGCCTTCACGTCTCGAACCGCCGAGCCTGATGCTTCCAAACCAGGCTGGACCTCCGAGCCTTGCCATGTGGAACTGGAGCCAAAGGCTTGACCAGGCATTCGAAATCCTGCACTCGGGCAGACAACGAATAATCGGATCGCCGCAAGAAACCAGGGCAGGAGGAACAAAAGAGCGGCAACAGACAGCAGGGGGGGCAGCAGCAGCAGAAATCGGACGGCTCTGGATGGGAGTAGCCCAGTTGATCGAAGGGCTGAGGATGCGAGAGAGAAGTGACTAGGATGGTGGGAGCGAGGAGAGGAAAGGAGAGGGGAGGGCGGAGATGAGGGGATGAGGAGCAGGAAGAGGAGAATTAGTCCTATAGAACCAGCTAGGAGGGAGATGAAGAGGGCAAGTAGCCGTTCGTCAGGGGAAATGCCTAATTTGTGAGGAGACTGGGAGTTAAACAGATGTATGTGATGGAAGAGTGGTTTAAAACGGTGCTGAGCGGTAGGACTTGAGATGTTTTGGGGGCTGGAGAGGGTTCGGAGACTGGTAAGGGCCTGGTGGTCCGCCTGGACCTGAATTGGCTGCGGTTGCTGCGCTATAATAGCTTCGATAGTCGCGTATAAGCATAGTAACAAGAGAATCAGCGTTAACGCGCGGAGAGCAGAGGCCGAGAGACGGGAGAGGAGGTATAGGGAGCCTAAGAGGAGAGGTAAGGGGGCGAGTATGGAGAGAAGGAGTGCGAGGAAGGGAGTGAGAGAGAAGAGAGGGGAGATGAGGCGAAGGAAGGAGGAGCAGGACCAAGGCGGGTAGAAGAAGAGGGTTTCGCGGACGGTGAGGTATGCCAGGAGGAGGAAAGTGAGGAGGGAGAGGAGGAAGTTGTGTGTGGGGAGGTGGATGTTGTGAGAATCCGCTTCGTTTAGGAGATTATGCGCGGATAAGTGACGGCGGATGGGGCGTGTTAAAACGGGACGTGCTAATAGCGGGGATTGCAGGGATTCTCGCGAGCTGGGGAGTGAGAGGGAAGAGGGGTCATCCGAGGCTGGGTGTGACTGTATCGGATGTGACGGAGGCGAGCGAAGTGGGGTTCCGTTGGGCGATACAAATCTGGGGTGACGAGAAACGGTTATAGCAGACCTTGATTCAGCTGCTGGTGCTGACGTCAGTACTGATGACGTGTACTGCTGACTTGCTGACTCAGATGACATGGCTGCGTCAGGGGGATGCACTGCCTGGGTTGAGTCTGCTTGCTGAATTGAGTTTTTTTCTAGTGAACCTGCTTGAGCTTCTGTCGGATGTGCTTCTAATGAGGGTGTTACGCTCCCAAAACTCCGGTGCGTAAATTTCGGCTGCTGAGAGCTCATTTTGGAATGAGAGGAGAGACGAAGACACCAAAGGCTGCTTGAAAGCTTGTATAAGAAACATGGGCGGAGGAGGTGACTGAAACGAGAAAGCGTGCAAATTGTGTCAGAGAAACAATGAAAGAATTCTACGAAACTGGATGGACTGAATAGTGGCGTCGAGCGGTATGACAGAGTCGTGATCGTCACGTACTGGACAGAGCTACGACGTGATATCGATAGGACGGAACTTGACGGCAACGCAGATCAAGCTACTTGCAGATACAACAACGGCTTGAAAACTGGAAAATGACTATATTTCTCAGCGAGAACGCCTTGAGGAAACGGAGAACCCAGGTGAGAATTGTTAATTCCATTAGAAGATGGCCATTGAGCTTTGATTGACGTGACGTGATTGGCGGACTCAGGGAGTGCCTCTGGTATTGCCTTCGAATTCACGTACTAGGTTTTGCCTGGTGCGTTGCGGTCCAAAGCACTTAAAGGATGGTACTGTGGTTTATCAGTGACCAACGCGGCAACGCCTCCCGAGATTCTCGTGACCCAACAGATTCCTCTGATCAGGCAGATTCCCTGACTAGTGACCGTTGCATTCGTTTCACGATTAACGACAGACCCTCGCGAAAATTGTCCAAACCAATTGTTGAGGTTACGACGACGCTGCTGACTATCCACCACACATTTCGTCCTTCAATCGCGTGATGCGAGGCTTTGACGATCCTTTCCCAACCAGGGTAACTTTCTCGAAAGAATGGCTGAAATCTCGTAGCCGTGTGTAATTTCCAGACTCAGGAATTCGTCGAGCCTCGTTATGGTTTCGTCGAGACCCCCCTCTCATCGCCAGTTCCAATCCCATCTCCCATTATCACAATCGCGTATGGAAGCTGCTAGGACCATATGCTAGGCCAGCCACTCGCTCCCAGTTCAAACCGCTTAGTTCCTGCTTAGTTCTTTGCCGCATAGTATTTTGCAGCGACTTCCTCTGCTGTGGCTGTTGCGACTGTTTAATTATTTTACAGCCACTTGAAGAAATGGCTTCAGCTGCTGTCAGTTCCCAACTATGGTCGCCGACACAACTTCCACGGCTTCATGCCTCAAAAGTGAAAAATTCTGTCAGGGTGTTCATGCCGAAACCGGTAACAAGAAGCCATTTTCTGGCAACAGTTGGCGAAAACGAGAAGATTAAGGAAAGACGTACAGGGGTCCGGCGTAATAGTAGTCGCGTCAGTCAGAGGTGTCGCACCAAGACTCTGTCCAGACACAATCCGGAAACAGGTAAAGCTCGTAATTCAGAGGGAAATTTTGATTCGCGTTTGGACTCTTCTAGAAAGAAACGTTTTTACAAGTTCACTTCGACAAATGGGTCGGGGTGGTGCTTTCCACGGCATTCCCCGATTTCTTTCTAGAACAAGCCTTCATCGGAAAACGTCTCTTTGCGTTTCTCTAATCCCCACTTCACCTTGCCACTCTCTGTCGAATACAAGATGTATTCTCTCTCGCGTATACAAAAAAGTTGTAAATCCACTCCGCTCAATCACTATACCAACTTCTCTCCCACATATGTTGTCACCTCCTCGCCTCGTCCCATTCTGTGGCAGGCGAGACGGATTTGCAGGGCGAAACTCGCTTCCTGGAGGTCAGTGGACGCCTCTAGTTTCTCTTTCCTGTTTTTCTTTTGAACATTGTTCGAATCCAGAAACGCTTCAAATAGCGGCTGTCTTGGGCTGGCATGGGATGGAACGGGATGGCATGGGCTGACATGAGATAATATGGCTGGCATGGGATGGCATGGGTTGGTATGGGTTGACATGAGATAATATGGCTGGCATGGGATGGCATGGGGTGGTATGGGTTGACATGAGATAATATGGCTGGCATGGGATGGCATGGGGTGGTATGGGTTGACATGAGATAATATGGCTGGCATGGGATGGCATGGGGTGGTATGGGTTGACATGTGCTGGCATGGGATGGAGCTGGCATGTGGTGTCGGCGAGGCTGGGTCCGGAGTCTGGCAAGGTCTCTGGCAGTCGCTTCACCCCTTCCATTTCCACCCAGCACGCCCACCCGCCTCCCTCTTCGAGTATATTTCTATTCTTATTTATTGGGAGTCATTCTTTAGAATTCGTGATGATGGATATCTGAACGTTCTTCCTCCCTACCTCCCTTTTTCTCTGTTTTCACCCAGCCCACCTCCGCCGCCCAATCAGAATTGGCCAAGTCGCCTCCCCCCTCCACCTCCAATTCCTCCTCCCCTGAACCATCAACGGATGGCCCGGCTTTGTTGCCAGACCCAGCCTCGTCGACAGGCTCGGGATCAGGCACGGTGCTAGGCTCGGTGTTGGACTCGGACCCGAGCCAGCGGCGGAGTGTGCAGGTGACGTTTACGTGTGGAGTGTGCGGGGCCCGCACCTCACGGCTGGCGAACCCCCTGGCATTGAAGAAAGGCACAGTCTTTGTGCAGGTGAGAGAGGGGTGGGGACGGACAGACTTTTGAGTCGACTCAAAAGGCACAGTCTTTGTGCAGGTGAGAGAGGGGTGGGGACGGACAGACTTTTGAGTCGACTCAAAAGGCACAGTCTTTGTGCAGGTGAGAGAGGGGTGGGGACGGACAGACTTTTGAGTCGACTCAAAAGGCACAGTCTTTGTGCAGGTGAGAGAGGGGTGGGGACGGACAGACTTTTGAGTCGACTCAAAAGGCACAGTCTTTGTGCAGGTGAGAGAGGGGTGGGGACGGACAGACTTTTGAGTCGACTCAAAAGGCACAGTCTTTGTGCAGGTGAGAGAGGGGTGGGGACGGACAGACTTTTGAGTCGACTCAAAAGGCACAGTCTTTGTGCAGGTGAGAGAGGGGTGGGGACGGACAGACTTTTGAGTCGACTCAAAAGGCACAGTCTTTGTGCAGGTGAGAGAGGGGTGGGGACGGACAGAAGAAGGGATGGTGGATGGGGAATGGGGAGCGAGGGGGTGGGCGGAAAGGGGGGGGGGAGATAAAGGGGGGGATTGAAGGAGTGAGCGAGTGAGACGGGAGGAAGGGATGAAGGGCGGAGGTAAGGCAGCATGCAGGTGTCATTCACGTGTGGGACTTCTGTGCAGGTGAGTGGGGAGGTGGGGGTAGGTGATGGAGGGAGGGCTGAGGGTGAAAGGCGGGAGGAAACAGGCAGTGTGGTGGAGGTGACATTGATATGCTAGGTGTGTGGCGCCTCATGGTGACATTGAACCTCATGGCTGGCCCTCTTTTTTGAGGTGCCTCACTTTTGAGGAGTTTTGAGGTGTCGAAATGTCACGGCTGGCCAATCCCCTGGCGCTGAAGAGAGAACAGCCTTTGTGCAGGTGTCCTATCCTAGTTTATTTCACTCCAATGTCCCATGCCTCATATAATGTGCCTAATGTCACTTGAGTCCCTTGTTTTTGCGTTTGTGCTACTGCGCCTCGTCCTTCTGTGTTGCTCATGCCCCATTGTTCCCTTGTTCCTCGACATCCCCTTGATGCGCACTGAAGTGTGGTGGCTGCGAGAAGTTTCATCGGTTAGTGGATAATCTAGGGCTCATTGTGGAGTACGATTTCCGAAACGAGAGTGGTAGTGAGAGTGGAAGTGAGAGAGGCTAATGTGCTATTGCATCAACATTTCGCCTCTATGGTGTTTCCGTGCAATTTCACCAGTAGGAACTGTATGCTGGATTGCATGTAGAGAGCCTTGTGTGGCTTTTAAAAATACCAGGTGGTACCAGTATTCAAGCCTCAGAATTGGAGCAAAGAACATGAAAACACTTATGACCAACACTCTTTAAAGAAGGCAGTCATTTGTTTATAGAGTTCAACGTATATGGTTTATACCGGTGAAACCAGGGGGCGTTGTTATGAATGAACTTGCAGAGTGCGCCGAATATCGAATATCGAGAATGAGAATTACAGAATGACGATACAATGAGAAAGGCACGACTAAATAGGGGGAGTCCTAGCTAGGCGGAGAGGTTGGGCGAGGATGGATCGGTGATGGATGCGATTGGTGCGGAGGCGACTCGGGGGTGGTTTGGTGCGACGAAATAGGAAGGACAGGTTCGTCGCATGACCCTCGGGATGGCCTCGCTAACGAGTGCCTCAGTAAGGATTCTGTAAATCCTTACAGGCGTGCAATCAAATTAACAGCTAGCCTTTCCTGGATAAACGCCCTATGGGACGACATATGCGGAGGGGCGTTTATGAGGTGCCTCGCATAGGTTGTCGTTGTTAGCCATAACAGCTAGCCTACTAGCAGTCTCGTTGTGCATAAAACCAGCCCTAAATGCTTTTTATCTCGTGCATTGCATTGCTCAGAGGCCACTGGTGGTGGCCACTGGTGGTAGGGTAGGGTATGAGAGACCAGGTCACTCACGCCTGTCAAGAACGAACCCAATGCTCTACCAAGGGCTTCAGTTTCACATACTCTTGTGTTGAGTGTATTACACACGGTCTTTCCTAATTAAACCTACTCCTACCACATTGCAGCTCACTGGAATCATGTCTCAAGATCTCCTAATACGAGAGGTCATGCCTATCAAGACCCAAGAACGACCCCCCCAATGCTCTACCAAGGAGGAACCGTCCGCTGTAGGTTTTAGCACACGTGTGTATCCTCCAGGAATGATAGGGACGGAATACCTAGGATGTTACCCTGTAACATGGCTAAGAGGCTGGACAGTCTCAAGCAGGCATCCTGTCGGGGGCTCTTGCACCAGAGTACAAGCAAGCCGGTGGATTGTGGGGCACATGAGTTGAACACTCAAGGGATATCCGTGCGGAACGGAGCTATCCGGTGGAGGCGGGGCCCTCCGCCGGGGCCCCAATCTTCATCCGCGCGCTTCGAGCTTGTGTTTCATCGCGGCAGTCAGGGGCATGTGAAAGCCACGCCTCACCAGAGGATCTGCAGCGGCAGCGCAAGCCGACCACAGGCACAGCGTGTCAACCATCTTTTTAACCACCACCTTGGCAGGCTCATTCCTCGCCAGGCCTGCGCCGCCCAACGCTTGCTCCATCACCCGCGCAACGTGCCCGTCCGGGTCCGAACTGGCCGTTTCTCTGCATTCCCCGGATTCGTTACTCAAAGAGGCCAAGACCGCGCCGATCGCGAGCCTGCAGAGCCGCAATCGCGGCGTCGCTGCACCCACAGCTCTGGCCACGGCAACAGCGCGCTCCACAGCTGAGGCGGTGCTGTCTCCACGCCAGATGCCCCACACCGCCGCGCATGACGCCGCCAGCGCTGTAGCGTAAAGCCAGGTGGCGGCGCCACGCTTCTCGACGACGGCGGTCCCAATGGCCGCGCAGAGGGCCGACACCCTGCTCTCCTCCTCGCCCGCCGAAGCATCGAAACCCTTCAGAACCATGCGGTACCTGCAAGAGACAGAACACAGGCCACGCGAGTTTCTTTAAGCCTACTGCACGCACGCAGCTCACTGAGACATGTCTGAAAGCTACGAGAGACAAAACACGGTCCGCACCGCCACACCCCGTCAGCCGTGCGTGCAATGCAACCAACACATCTTGGTAAAGAGCGCAACGAAGCAAGCACGCTGCCGGCGTGCACCACCCAGCACCCACCCGTGCACAGTGCGCATGAGCTTGTGGGCATGCATGACGGCCCACAGGCCAGGAGGGATGTGGCGCGCTTGTTTCCACTCTGCTGCCCACGTGGCCTTGGTTCTCGGGGGAAGCTCCAAACCCAAGTCAGCCTGCTCGCCAAAAACCGTCCGCGCCATGCACAGGAGGTAGAGAACGTTCGCACGGTTCATGTGCGACCCCAGGTACCATTTCTGCCCACCGATGGTTGCTTCGGCAACCCACGCCCCGCTCTCCAACTGCCGGATGCCGGCCAGCCTCCATCTCTCCACCTTCCCCGCGTCCTTGGCACCATGCACGGCACGTTTCTCTGCTCCACCCGCGTGTGCCGTCCCAGCGTTGTTCGCGCGTTGGCCGCCACCCGCCGTTCCCACCTCGTCGGCCCTGGCACCCTTCTTCGCTGCTCCGCTTGCTGCCCCGCTTGCTGCCCCGCTTGCTGCTCCGCCACCTCCGTCGACCCCTGTTTCCGCGCCGCGGCCTTCGATCCAGCACACCTGCGTGATTTCCGCAAACGTCACCCTTCGAGGAGCGCGCCGTGCGTTCTTCTTAGCAACCCCTGTTTCCGTGCCGGGGCCTTCGATCCCCTGCGTTCTACTTGGCACGTCCCCTGTCCCGTCAACCCGTGGGCGCTTGCGGGCCGTTGGTGCGAGCGCGGACACCACGCGTGCAGAGGCCCGCTTCGGGAAGCGTGGGGACGCGGCAGCCTTGGGCGGGGTGGGATCGTTCGCGCGTTGGCCTCCCGCGGGCTCTCCCTCTTCCTCCTCTCCCTCTTCCTCCTCTCCCTCTTTCGACATGTCTTTGTCGATCCCCGTGCACAGCCCACTCTTCTCGCTGCCCTGGGGCCCAAGAGGATGAGGAGGAGGAGGAGGACTAATGAACAGTGGAAAATCTGCATCGTCGTCACTCCATTCACACGTAGCCGGGAGGTCTTTGTCGGTCCCCGTGCACAGCCCACTCTTCTCGCTGCCCTGGGGCCCCAGAGGAGGAGGAGGAGGATTAGTAAACAGTGGAATTTCCGCGCCAGCGCCTTCGATCCCGCGCACGTCCCCTGTTCCGTCAGCCCGCGGGCGCTTGCGGGCCGTTGGTGCAGGCGCGGACACCACGAGTGCAGATACCCGCTTCGGGAAACGTGGGGACGCGGCAGCTGGGGGCGGGGTGGGATCGCTCGCGCGTTGGCCTTCCGCGGGCTCTCCCTCTTCCGACTCTCCCTCTTCCGACTCTCCCTCTTCCGACTCTCCCTCTTCCGACTCTCCCTCTTCCGACTCTCCCTCTTCCGACTCTCCCTCTTCCGACTCTCCCTCTTCCGACTCTCCCTCTTCCGACTCTCCCTCTTCCGACTCGTCTTTGTCGGCCCCCATGCATGGCCCACTCTTCTCGCTGCCCTGGGGCCCCAGAGGAGGATGAGGAGGAGGATTAGTAAACAGTGGAATTTCTGCATCGTCGTCACTCCATTCACATGTAGCCGGGAGGTCTTTGTCGGTCCCGGTGCATGGCCCACTCTTCTCGCTGCCCTGGGGCCCCAGAGGAGGAGGAGGAGAAGGATTAGTAAACAACATTGGAATTTCTGCATCGTCGTCGCTCCATTCACACGTAGCCGGGAGGTCCAAGTGGCCTATCTGCATCGTTGTCGCTCGATTCACGCGGGGGGTTTTAATCCTGTCAGCTATCTCCTGAAAGGCTTCCCAAATGACCTGCTGTGCCCTCTCGTTGAGGAGTTCCTGTACCTTGTCAAACGTCAATGCCTCTCTCGCCGCCTCCATCACCAATTCCGCCGACTCGATCCTGGCCTGATTGCCCCGTTTCAATAGCCAGCCCTCGACTCCCGCGTGGCACGCCGTCTGCTGCTGCTCTGCCGTCTGCTGCTGCTCCTCCATCTCTATTTCCTCCATCTGCTGCGTGCACACCGACGGATGGGCCTAGAGCGACGTGTGAGGGCGATTGCAGGAGCGCCGTCGGCCGCGCACACACCTACACCGTTGTAATAGCGATGGCCACTCGCTCGCCTAACTGCTGTGGGTGAGGGGCCATGAGCGGTGTGTGAGAGCGATTGCAGGAGGGATAGGAAAGGGTGCAAGGGCAGGGAGATATGGGAGGAAGGAAAGTCAGCAGGTGGGTGGGGTGGGGTGGTGGTGATAGCCGCACACCTACACCGTTGTTGTAATAGCGATGGCCACTCGAGGTGACTTTTGAGTCGACTCAAAATTCACCTCAGGTGGGTGGGGTGGTGGTGATAGCCGCACACCTACACCGTTGTTGTAATAGCGATGGCCACTCGCTCGCCTAGCTGCCTTGAGGGATGGGCCATGTGGGAGGAAGGGAGGAGAGGGGGAATGGGACGACTGCGCAAGGCAGGAAGGGACGAGTGGGTTGGGTCATGCGATGATGTGCACGGGGGGAAGGGACGAGAGCTGAGATTCTAGGAGGCGCAAGGGAGGGATGGACGCGAGGGGGAAAGGGACGACCGGCATGGGAGGAAGGGACGACCGGCATGGGAGGAAGGGACGACCGGCATGGGAGGAAGGGACGACCGGCATGGGAGGAAGGGACGACCGGCATGGGAGGAAGGGACGACCGGCATGGGAGGAAGGGACGACTGGCACGGGAGAACGGAACGACCAGCAATGGCGCTGTGTGCGAAGTGTACGAAGTGCGAAGTGCTTTGAGTCGACTCAAACCGCGACACCGACGCAATGGCGCGGAACGGTAGAGAACCGAGCCCGTGACTGGGGCCTATTCGGGCTCGACTATGCAAGGAAGGGGGCCTATTCATCATAAACGGCATGCAAGGGGTTGGGTGACGAAAGTAGCAAATGTGAGAGTAAGAGATGCTAAGTCGATGGAGCGAACACGGTGCGGACGGCAGTGCATGTTCGACTTGGGGATATGAATGCGAACCGTCAAACCGTCGACATTGTATAGCATTTGCGCGAAATGGGCAGCTGGTCGGTAACCCAAACCCTTATCTGGAGTTGCGCCTGCACCTTACGCGTTGCGTCGTTAACCCAAACCATCACCTGGAGATGCGCCTGCACCTAACGCACGCGTTGCGTTAGGTGACTCTCCCGAACCACCGAGGGACACGTGGTCTTGGTCCTCTATGTGGACTTCCTATGCCTGTGTCCCCTTTTTCGCTGCTTGGAGAGGTAATTTGTTCACCTAATAGACGGGATTAGGTTTTGATGCCTTAACAGTGGTGACTGATTTGGAAGAGTCATTCTAGTTTCTTCGCCACTGGTGTCTGGTTTCCCGCCGTTGTTGCTTGTGCGACTCTTGAGGTGCAGACGAGGTCGTAGCTACAGTGGTTTCGGCTGGTGTGGCGATGGTTTGCGAAAATGCATGACACGTCTTTCAGTGCCCAAGCCTGTGAAAAGGGTTACACCAAGGCTTGGAGGGATGAACCCGTTCCGCAAAACTTCGTGAACCCGTCGGTTCCCTGTGTTGTCGAATAGGGCAAACCCCCTGATGACAACACCACTCAACTTCAGGGAGCCACGTCCAAGAACAGCGAAGTAGCATAGAAATAACGAGGAACAAACGAATGGTCGCGATTTCTCTAGCAGAATCCAGCGGCCCGAAGGCTCTCGATTCAGAACAGTTCGCCACTGATTCCCGCGACACGGCCGGTAACTTCTAGGAGAAGCCGATCGGCTGAACTGAGGTAGAGAGATGCATGGAGTGAGTGCCTTCCGTATCGTACCTTACCCCACTCAACCGTTTTTGAAAGCGACTGAGCTCTTTGAACCGCGTAGCAGATGTGCACACTGCCTTCAAAAACCACCATATTCACATGAGTAAGTTGTCGAAAGCAGGTATCTCCGAAGCGCTTTTAGGAACTTTCGGGTCTTGGATAGGAGATCAGCAGTCGTGCCGCGTTTGGTGTAGGATTAACCAGCCTTGATAGGAGACCAGCAGTCGTGCGTTAGACTCTGATCTCACCAGCCTTGATAGCAGACCGCCATGGATTTCGAGCTGCGGAGAGCGCAGCAGCGATACGAGAAGGAGCAGCGGGAGAAGCGGGATGCGGCGCGGGTGAAGGCGGAGAGGCAGAGGAAGGCGAAGGAAGAGATCGAGGCGCGTCGGAGGGCTATCGAAGAGGCGCAGAGGCTCAAGCGGCTGGAGGAGGCTGCAGCTGCTGAAGCAGTGAGTGATTCGATTTGATCCGATTCGATCAGCTGCTTTTATGGTTTGCGTGTGTAGCATGGAACAGCCTACAACTCCTGCCTTTCCTGGTTATCCTTGTCATCCGCTTTTCCTCTCGCTTCGTTCTTCTGATGTCGCATCGCAATTCTCTGATATCGTACTTGCTTTTTGTAATACCTTTTCCCTATAGAATATCGCTATACCCGTTATTATTCCCATCATGTTTCCGCCGTCAGGCTCGTCTTCAAGCGGAGGCCGATCTGCAAGCAGGAGGCGGCATCCGCTTCAATCGCGAGCTGATCCCCGTCGCTATAACGGGCGACCGCGATAAGATCACACTCCCTCAGTCAGTGTTGTCGGATCTCCCGCTCGACGAGGCGCTCGATAGAGGACCCATGCTCTTCGAGCTCTCCGTTCCGCGCGCGGTTGGCGGAAGCACTGCAGGCGGAAGCGCAACCGGCGGAAGCGCTTCAGGCGGAATGGAGGTTGATGGGGAGGAAGAGGATGACGCAGACGAGGGTGGTTATGCGGTGGATGTTGATTTTAACGGGGGTGATTCTAACGGGAGGAGAGTGAAGCGGAGGGTGACGCACGGAGGCGTTTTGGAGTTTACTGCGCCGGAGGGCTGTGTAGGTCTACCCCCTCTTATCCTCCGAAATTTGGGGTTATCAGGGATAATAGACGTCTTTAATCCGTCTGGTTCTCCCCCGCCTGTGCGCGTCCGCTTCGTCAAACTCCCTAAAGCAACGTTCGCGCGGCTCCAGCCGCTGCGCCACGGGTTTCTTGCTGACGTGGCGAACCACCGTGCTGTTTTGGAGTCGGCGCTACGGGGCCAGGCGGCGCTGACACGTGGCGACGTGCTAGTGGTCGGGTCGGAGGTGGGGGAGGTGGCGGTGCGGGTGTGCGAGGTGAAGGGCGTGGGCGGCGCGAGAGGCGCTGCTACAGTGATTGATGCTGACGTGGAAATCGAGCTATCGCCGTGGGAGGGGGAGGGGGATGCGGAAGGCAAGGGGGGGAAGGGGTACAGGCAAGGGGAAGGCAAGGGGCAGGGAAAGGGGAAGGGGAAGGAAGGAGAAATGGGGGATGCGGGGAGGGATGAGAAGAATGAGGGGGACGGATGGGCTAAGGCTGGCACTGGGAGAAAGCTGAGAGAAACAGATGAACAACAAGGAGAGAAAGGCGAGAAAGGAGAGAAAGGGAAGGGTACAGAGGGAGGAGGTGGAGCAGGAGGAGGAGGAGGAGGCGGAGGGGTTGTTAAGAGGGAGGTAATCCACGTGGGGAGTGCTGATAGGCGCTTACTGGTGCTGCCTATTGGGGGGAAGGGGCTAGCAGGGGAGATTCAGGAGGGCGAGTGGAGGTATTTCAAGGTTTATGTTGATGGAAGGTTGGGGAGAAGGTTGTATCAGGGGGAGGTAGAACTGGAGTTTTGGTTGCAGCTTGAAGGGGGGTTGGCCGAGCTGCCTGCTGACGTGGCTCGAGGAGGTGCTGACGTGGCAGACGGTGATGCTGATCTGTACCTGTCCAAGCACCCGATTGTGTACCCGTCGTCGCTGGACCATGTCGTGTCATCCATTCTCCCTATTGGCTCCAAGTCCCTTGTTCTCTCCGCATCAGCACTGGCGAAAGCAGCAGTACCAGCAGCACCAGCATCAGCGGTAGCAGCAGAAGCAGCACGAGTGGAAGTATCAGGAACAGTAGTACCAGAAGGAGCAGCAGCAGCAGCAGCAGCAGCAGAAGCGCTGAAGGAGCCTGCAACGTACACTGTAGCAGTGCACGGTGCAGCAGGCACATGCAGGTTCAATATTTCTGTGCACTCCAAAGAGTTGATCTCCTCCGATCTAGACCCTTCTGCGTCTGCTGCTGCTGCTGCTGGTGCTGCTGCTGCTGGTGCTGCTGCTGCTGCTGCTGCTGCTGCTGGTGCTGGTGTTGGTGGTGGTTGTGGCATTAGTGGTGGTGGTGATGATGCTGCTGCTACCCCACCTGCCGACCAATCCCGTTGCGGCAACTGTCGCCAGCTCATCGCCACCCGCACGCTGCCCCTGCACGAGGCCTACTGTTCCCGGCACAACATCGTTTGTCCACATCCCGGGTGCTCCGTGGTGTTGAGGCGGGCGGATCTGGAATCGGGCGGCGAGCACCACCAGCACTGCGGGGAGTGCGGGGAGGTGTTTGGGGGAAGGAGGGAGAGGGAGAAGCACGAGCGGGTTCGGCACGGGGAGTTGGTGTGCGAGTGTGGACTTGTTGGGAAGGCTTCTGAAGTGGTAAGGTTTACTGTTTTTTAGAGAGATGTTTTAGCGGCATCTCGGGTGTTTGCTGGTGTTGAGAAAGGCGGATTTGGAATTGGTAAACGTCATAACCCGCACAGTGGGGAGTGTGGGGAGGTGTTTGGGCGGAGAAAAAAAGAGGAGAAGCACGAGCAGGTGTCGGCATGAGGAGTTGGCGTGCGAGTGGTAACTTATGGGGAAGGACTTTTGAGACGTCTCAAAAGGTGTCGGCATGAGGAGTTGGCGCGCGAGTGGTAACTTATGGGGAAGGACTTTTGAGACGTCTCAAAAGGTGTCGGCATGAGGAGTTGGCGTGCGAGTGGTAACTTATGGGGAAGGACTTTTGAGACGTCTCAAAAGGTGTCGGCATGAGGAGTTGGCATGCGAGTGGTAACTTATGGGGAAGGACTTTTGAGACGTCTCAAAAGGTGTCGGCATGAGGAGTTGGCGTGCGAGTGGTAACGTACGGGGAAGGCTGGCAAGCTGGTAAGTGCATGTGTGAGCTTTGACAGGTACTCTTCCTACCCCAATATCCTTTCCCTCCCGTGACCGCCGGCGCACCACCTGTCCCCATCGCCCCATCCTCTGTCGCTTCTGTGCTGCCCTCGTGCCGACCCATCTAACCCTCATGCCTTTCCTCCATTCCCCCCTCCCCCTCTTCCCCCCACCAGCACCACCACCGGCGCACCACCTGTCCCCATCGCCCCATCCTCTGTCGCTTCTGCGCTGCCCTCGGCCCGCCCCTCTCCGCTAGAGACTGTCTCAACGGCCTCTCCCCCCACGAGGCACTCTGTGGGGTGCTTTCACACACAGCCCTCTCCCCCTCTTCCTCTCTGCCCTCCCGTTTCTCCCTGCTTAAGTTCTGTCTGTGTCTTCCTCCCATTTTCCCCCAAAACCCCCCATCCCCCAGCACCACCACCGGCGCACCACCTGTCCCCATCGCCCCATTCTCTGTCGCTTCTGCGCCGCTCTCGTGCCGGCCCTCGGCCCTCCTCTTTCGGCTAGAGACCGACTCAACGGCCTCGCACCCCACGAGGCGCAGTGCGGGGCCCGCACGGCCCCCTGTGACACGTGCAGACGGCCGGTTATGCTGAAAGAGATGGATGTCCACGTGGCGGCTTTCCATTCGCTGCCTGCCACGTCAGCAGCATCGCCAGCTGCTGCCACTGCTGCTACCACCACTGCTGCTACTGCTGCTGCTGCTGCTGCTGCTGCTGCTGCTTTTCCTGCAAACGCTCCTCCTGCTGTGGGTGGTTGGAGGGCCACACGCATGGACACAGATATGGACGAAGAGCATTGGGCAAGAGCCTATGCTGGAGATTTTGAGAAGGAGCAGGGGTTGGAAGGAAGAGGAGGATTTGGGATGATGGGGGATGTAGGGAATGTTGGAACGAGGGGTGGGAATTTTGAGGGGGGGTTGGAGAGAAGGGATGGGGCGGATGGGGCGAGTGGGGTGACTGGGCCGGTGTCTGGGAGGTCGTTGAATGTGGGGTGTCCGATTTGTGGTGTGATGGTGCACAGTGAGCGAGACCTCAATGTGCATCTGGATGCAGCACATTGATAATGCTTATTCATAATTTTTTATTTTCATTAATATATCAAAAGTACGTGGAGAGCAAGTTGAAGATCACGAAGAATTTGGGAACAATACGATATCGAGTGAAGAACCATATTGTAGTCCTATCATTGCGCCCTCCCCTCCGCCGTCAGTCATCACCTCGCCGCGCGTCCAGACACACACCATCTCGACTGCCTTCTTACTCCACAATACGGAGCTTTTTTTAGCGAATCAATCTATTCACCAGTTTTGAGACGCGGTTTCGTTGTTTCATACTCAGTTATGTCGTTCGGATTTACCTATTTCCCCGATCTCCGCCCCCCTGTGGTCGAGGAACTACCCGCGTCGCTCGCGGCGCTCAGCGAAGAAGCGCTATTGGCTGCGCGCGAGGCTGCGTACGAGCAGCAGCTATTAGCGGTTCGTGCTTCTAACGAGGGGACCGCGCCGATTGGTCAGGCGGGGGGGAGGGACGGGGAGGGGGAGGGGGAGGAGGTCGAGGGGGAGGCGGAGGAGGAAGAGGAGGAAGATGAGGAGGAGGGGGATAGGGATGAGATGGACGGTGGGGATGATGCGATGAGCGACGAATTCGGGCAGGAAGGGGGCGGGGGTTTGTAGAGTGACTTGTTACGATGCGATTATAAAAGGGTTCTGATAACGGGTAGGAAGAGGAGGGGAGGGATGTGATGGGCGGGCAGGGGGCAAGGGGGTAAAGGCGGAAGGAGGGGGGAAGAGAAGGGGGTGGGTGGGGTGGGGTGGAAACGAATGGATGAGTGTCTAATCTGGACAGGAGACATGGCTGTAAGACGACTGTGCAAGGATTTGATGATAAGCGTAGTTCTAATAACGGTGGTGCACATGCCATGTGTGAAAAGAGGCTGGCGTGGTGTGGGGTGTGGTTTTGGGGAGATGGGGAGGAGGAGAGAGGGGGAGGAGAGGGAGGGAGAGGGGGTGAGTGGGGGGGCGATTAGGGAGAGGGCGGGAGAGAGGAATTGAGGGAGGGGTTGAGGAGAGAGGTAAGTTGGTTGTTCGTAGCAGTGTAATCACCATTGAGAATAGTTTATTACCATTTGTTAAAAAATCTCAAGTACAGTAACAGTTCCTGAACATCCATGCCTTGTTTTTGCATCAGTCTTTGAAAAGCCAGTGCGTCTTGACCAGATAGATTCTGTACGGTACCAGTGACTACATCACCCAGAAGCTCCTTGTTTGTCTTGTCATTGTCTTGTCACCCATTACAAACCACCTTCCGCAGCACCTACAGCAGAAGGATACGGTTGGTACCAGTACTCAGTAAACAGTCAATCAAAGCCAGAGTCCATTTAACAGCCTTCCTTGTCATGTCCTCTTTTCCTCTCCCACATCCCCCCTCATCTCCCCCTCCCCTTCTCCCCTTCCCTTTCACACTACGCTTCTTATCCAGACTCCTGCCTTACCACATGCAACGATCCTGCATGGTATGACATATGAGGTTACCATGTAACACCAGTCCACATTCACACCGCCCCTACTTTGTCACCTCCTCTTCTTCCCTCCCTTCCCCTTCTCAGAACCGCCTCCTGCTCCATGCAACCCCTCTGCACCCCCACCCCCAACTGACTTGTCTCTATGATGCTGAATTTCACAGTTACTGTGTTACATGAACTCACATACAAATCCCCAACTGTTATCTCCTCTTCTTCCCTCCCTTTCCCTTCTTCTCAGAACCCCCTGCTCCATGTGACCCGCCTGCTCCCCCACCCCCTCCGCCACCTCCTTCCTTGTCCTTCTCCTTGTCTTTCTTGCTCCGCCCAACATGCTTCGGTATAAGCTCCCCCAGTTTCAGCATAAGCGCCATTTCTGTACAGCAGGAGAGGGGTTAACAGCAGTACAAAACAATGAGTGACTTTTGTGATGTTCCAGAAAACGGGAGTTGAGAGAGATGTGATGGGGAAAGTATGAGGAGGAGAGTATGACGTCAGATGTTTCCTCATTGACTTACACAATGATTTAGAGCAAAAACAGCTGCAATCTGTTCCCATCCCATGTGTTACCAGTTAGACACAACTTTCTCTTTTTTCATAAATGGTCGCTTGGGAGTTAGGACAATCCCTCGAGTGTGACTTAGTGTTTGTTGTACTCACTGTAGCAGTTACTGTAGCACATAATATAGAGGTTGTCGTGCTGTCGGGTTTCTGTTTGTAATGATACTTTGAGAATCCAAAAAAGGAAACACGAATATGCACAAGTTTGAATATGCACATACCGTTTGGGATGTCGGGGTTGTGTGGTGTGTTATCACGTTTCTTTGTCTGCACCCAAATGCGACCTACAATTTTTTGCAGTTACTGTTGCCGTTACTGTTGCATTGCACTTACTGTTGGGGATGTCGGGGTTGTGTGGCGTGTTGTCGGGCTTCTTTATCTGCACTCGGATGCGGCCTCGTTGAAAGAAGTCCCGCGAGTAGGCCTTGTCCAGCTGCAACGTACGTGAGTGAGGAGTGAAGGAAAGAACAGACTGAAATTCCCACAGGTGCGCATAGCATAGACAGACGGACGCACATACACACGCACACACAGACCCTAGACTTTTTGAAAGGGGTCGTGCGAATAGACCTTGCCTTTCTGCCATAGGAGTGAACGAACGGGCGAATTGTCACTTTCACACAAATGCACGGAAAAACAGAGTCAGAGACACAGAGTCACATCCACACCACACTCACCTCTACGGCACGAGGGTTTTCAAGTCAAATCGAAAGACCATTAAACAACTTTCAAGTCGACTCAAAGGTGAGAATCACAGACCAAAAAGCGAATGCAAGAACAGGCGCCAGGTCAGAGAAAGCGGCAAATCAAGAATCAGGGCATGCGCCAGGTCAGAGAAAGCGGCAAATCAAGAATCAGGGCACGCGCCAGGTCAGAGAAAGCGGCAAATCAAGAATCAGGGCACGCGCCAGGTCAGAGAAAGCGGCAAATCAAGAATCAGGGCATGCGCCAGGTCAGAGAAAGCGGCAAATCAAGAATCAGGGCACGCGCCAGGTCAGAGAAAGCGGCAAATCAAGAATCAGGGCATGCGCCAGGTTAGGCCTCTGCTCAATCTGACACCCCGGCATGACTACCCCCAAATCCACCTCCGCATGCACGGGAACTTTTCAATACGTGCAAGAGTCGACCATTTCATAAACTTTGGTGTCCCACGCTGCATTGCCACCAGGGACTCACTCCCACATAACTCCCTAAAATGCCACACACATACCATGATCCCTCCCAAACCACATCCGCATGCGCGGGGACTTTAAGGCGCGTGCACGAGTCGACCATCTCTTGAATCTTGGGGTAACTTGGTTCCCTCCCAACCCACATCCGCGAGCACGGGACCTCCGCGGCCTTACCGGAGACTCAAAGCCCGAAATCTCCCTACAATGCGACACGCACCGTGACATTGATTATAACGAGCTCACCTCCGCGTGCACGGGAATTTTGAGATGCGTGCACGGGCCGACCATCTTCGGACCTTCCGCGGCTTTACCCTGGACCCAACCCCCCCAATGCCACACCCGAAGCTTTGATCAAGCCGAGCTCACCTCTGCATGCACGGGGATTTTAAGGTGCGTGCACGAGTCGACCATTTCTTGAATGTTCGGGTTCTCCGCGGCCTTGCTCGCCGCGATGCGACGACCCTGCGCTATAGTCATCTTCGAGTTTATGTAAACGGGGTAGATGATTTGCCACCGCGAGCGATCCGTGCTATCCTCTCCCGCGCTACGAATCTCTACCATTGTGGCAATTCGGCAGAGACCGGTGGAATTCGGTAAAGCGCGGTGTGAGATTGGTTCGGGTTCGGTACTACGCGCTACGAGATTAGGGTTGACTTGGGTCGACTCAAAACACTTCGAAGTACGAAACAAGTTTGAAATAAAATGTTGCGGAGATTGGCGACCCGCCAAATATCACGCTTCGACGGGATTCGATGCGAGAGGCGAGAACGAAGAAGCTGAAGCTGAGAGAGTTTAGTGACGTCCTGAACTCAGTTGCCGAGACGGTCAAGATTAAGAGTAAGAAACCTGAAGAGCAGATCCCCTCGAGGGCCTTAGCATCTGTAACGTATTACAACTATCTGATTCTCTAGGGCAAGGAACCTTCTAGAGACGTCACTAACTTGCTACAACTAATGTCGTTGTCAGGATGGGATGGGAATGAGGGAGGAAGGGTGAGGGAGGGCAGGGCGTTCGTATCACATCGTGTCGGCCAGTGCGGCCCAGTCAGATTCAAATCGGTTTCGTTAATTTCCCCACCAAATTTATCACATATGGCTACAAATTCTTTTTGTTGAAACCACTTAGTTTTCATTCCTGTACAATATTTGCCTCCTTCGGGCCATCACTACAAAGAAGTGTTTGTTATCCACCCTTCCGTAAAGGCCCCATGTTATATTATACGGCATCCATTCAGAACAATACCTACCAATGCACACCAACAAACAAATCATGGCAAATCATAGTATATGCTTGTTAATACTATGCAAACCAGCACCACAAACTGGCTTCACAATGATCATGCCTGAACTATCCTCAGATATCACCCATCTCCCCTCCTTACTACCTTTCGTGGTAGAAGCGACTGACACGGACCTTTTATGGCCCAGTCGCACAGGCACAAACACTCGTCGTTGTTCCGATTTCCCACCACAGGCACCACTAGCACCACTGGCACCGCTAGCATTTCCGGTACCCAGCGATGGGCTCTCGCCAGTGCACAGCATCTCACACTCGGTGGGAGCACTGCTGCCATCATCTTGCGTCTCCTCTTGCATACCCTCGTTCTCGTCCCGATTCTCGCCCTTTTGCATTCCGTCAACCTTGCCCAACACCATGTCGCCTCCCTTGCCCAACACCATGTCGCCTCCCTTGCCCAACACCATGTTGTCTTGTTGTGCGGCGATTGCCATCGCCTCCCGTGCATGTGGCACGCCCATTCTGCTTCGTTGCATGGCAATCAGAAGGTCACCAGCAAGACCTCGTTGTTCCTGCCACGCCTCCAAATCAGCAGCAGGCAGAAGCGCAACCGAAGGACCTGGTTGTTCCTGGCAAGCCCCCGAACCAGGTGGAAGCAGGAACCGGTCTGCAGAACCCTGATTCTGATGCGCGTCTGGAGCAGGAGAAAGCACAAGAGGGCTCATGGCAAGAAATTCCCTTCTATGATGCACCTCTAAACCCACCTCGAGGGCAAGAGGGCTTGGAGAGTCCCGAGGCTCAAGACCAAGCGTCCGGATCAGCTCCGGTGAAACACCACGTGGCTCGGACAACCGTGGAAGCGCCTCAAGCACCAAGGATTCTTGACGCTGGAGATCAGGCACTCGAACCAGCTTCGGGGGAAAAGAAGGTGGCTCGGACAGCCTATGCAGCACCTCAAGAGATGGCGAACCAAGAGGTTCCAGACCAAGCGTACGAATCAGCTCTGGAGAAAAAGCAGGTGGCTTGGACAACCTTTGTGGCGCCTCAGGAGAGTGCGAGCCAAGAGGCTCTAGACCAAGCGTACGAAGCAGCTCTGGTGAAAATGCTTGCGGTTCAGAAAGCTCTCGAGGCACGTCAAGTGTGGGAGAATCTAGAGCCTGGTGGTGAAGCATGCGAACCAGTTCTTGGGAAAGTGCATGAGGCTCGGAGAACCTTTGAGGCAACTCAAGTGAGAGTGAATGCTGAGGCTGGGAATCAGCTGGTGGCGCAGCTGGTGGCGCAGCTGGTGGCGCAGCTGGTGGCGCAGCTGGTGGCGCAGCTGGTGGCGCAGCTGGTGGCGCAGCTGGTGGCGCAGCTAGTGGCGCAGCTGGTGGCGCAACTGGTGGCGCAACTGGTGGTGCAACTGGTGATGCAACTGGTGACGCGGCTCGAGGTGTAGCTTGTATTGCGGGGGGCGGCGTGAATGAGCGTGTAGCTGTAGGCGCAGCTGAAGGTGTGACCAGCACCATGGCCGGCGCTGATCGGCTCTTTCTCACAGAATTTTCATGGTAAGCAGTGGTGTTTGTTCCACAGGAGCGCACGCGAACAGCAGCATCTGGATGAGGGCGTTTCGAGGGGGGAGGTACGTGCATGGCTGATGTCGTGTGAGCATGGAGATTTGGGGTGACAGGCCGATGGTTTGAAAGTGGTGGTGACCTGCTGGACTGGTTTAGAAGGGGTCTAGAGGGGTCTGGAGGGGTTGGTGCTAGCCTAGGTGAAAGATGTGAGGAGGAAAGAGGTGCTGCCTTTGGTGTTCCTGGTGCTATGACTGCTGCTGCTGCTGGTGCTGTGGCTGCCGATGCCTTTTCTGCTGCTGCTGCTGCTGGGTTACTTGCTGTTACTGATGCTCCTGATGTTGCTGCAGCTGCTGCTGCTCCAGCCCCGCCTGTTGCAACATCACGATTCCACCTTTTGCGCTCAACCATCCGAGGTTCGGTAGTTGCCTGGGTGTCAGATACGACCATCCAAAGCTCTGTCTCTTCTTGGATATTATCCACTTTTCTCACCCGCTGAATGGATTTACACTTGTCCCCTCCAGCAAATCGCCTCTTCATTAACACGGTCTGCTGAACCTTCCTGCTTCCACAACCCCCCATAGATTTTCCCGGCAGACCATGAAAGGTATGCTCAGCTGCTGCCTCCCAACTCATACGTCCTTGAGGAAACGCCTTGTCCTCCCCACTTCCTTCATCTGTGTTTGCTCTCGGAGTCAAGTCAGGAGTCAACTCAGTGCCTGTCTTAGGGTGGAAGCAGGAAGGTTCAGTCATGTCAGAAGTCAATTCCGTGTTAGGGTGTTCAGCTGAATCAGAGGTCAAGTTTGTGTTAATCAGTCCAATCGAGTCAAAAGGTTTTTCCTGGTTAGGCTGCTCATGAGTGCTGCCGCCCGCCTTGTGGGTGCTGCCGCCCGCCTTGTGGGTGTTGCCGATTGCCTCATACATATCTTCCCCGCCCATCTCGTTGGCGTCTTCGTCATCGCCACCCGTAAAGGGGGTCTGCTCGCCGGCCGCATCATGCATATGTTCGCCGACCGCCACGCAGTCAAGGGTGGGCGGGTTTGTCGCTATGTGCAAGTTGACGATTCGTTGCGCCTGGCAACCACACTTGGCGCGTTCGGAGCAGCGGAAATAGAGCCTGGGGAAGGAGACGGGAAATGAGGAGCGGAGCGGATAACGGGTGGTGGGGGAGAACAGGTTGAACGGGAGGTTTTGTCACTATCTGCAAGTTGACAATTCGTTGCGCCTGGCAGCCATATTTGGAGTGTTGGGAGCAGCGGAAATAGAGCCTGCAAGAGCACCGGAGATCACCGTCTGCCCGTAGCGCAGCCACCTGTAGCCATCGCCTCAAATACTCGCATTCAGACTCACAGCAACACCAAGCACTGAGGCTGCCTAGAAGCACTTGTGTGGTATTACCTGACATGGGTCCCCCCGGAGAGCACCTTGTGCCCGTAGCGCAGCCACCTGTAGCCATCGCCTCCGGTACTCGCATTCAGACTCACAGCAACACCAAGCACTGAGGCTGCCTAGAAGCACTTGTGTGGTATTACCTGACATGGGTCCCCCGGGAAAGCACCTTCTGCCCGTAGCGCAGCCACCTGTAGCCGTCATCTGGCAGCAGGTGCTGGTAGCGGGGCAGGTACCTGTGCCGCTGCCTCTTCACGCGGCTGAGAGGGAGGAGAGGGGAGCGGAGGTGGCAGCAGGAGTGAGGAAACAAGACGTATGAGTCAGCAGGGCCATGCAGGGCCATTGGTAGCCACCATCTGGCAGCAGGTGCTGGTAGCGGGGCAGGTACCGTGTCGCTTCCTCTTCATACGGCTGCGAGGGAAGAGAGGGAAGTGGAGGTGGCAGCAGGAGTGAGGAAGCAAGACGTATGAGTAAGTAGGGCCATGCAGGGCCGTTGGTAGCCACCATCTGGCAGCAGGTGCTGGTAGCGGGGCAGGTACCGTGTCGCTTCCTCTTCATACGGCTGCGAGGGAAGAGAGGGGAGTGGAGGTGGCAGCAGGAGTGAGGAAGCAAGACGTATGAGTAAGTAGGGCCATGCAGGGCCGTTGGTAGCCACCATCTGGCAGCAGGTGCTGGTAGTGGGGCAGGTACCGTGTCGCTTCCTCTTCACACGACTGAGAGGGAGGAGAAGGGAGCAAGAGGTAGGATAGCAGTGAGGGTGAGGGGAAGTTCAGTGGCACGTCTGGGAGAAAAAAGGCGGGACAGGAGTGGAGCAGAGAATCAGAGGAACAAAAACGAGCGGAGTAGAAGAACGAAAGTTCAGAGAATAAGAGGAAAAAAAAAGAGAGAGCAGGGAATAAGAGGAATAAAAAGAGCAAAGGTAGAGCATCAGAGGAAAAAAAAAAAAAAAAAAAAAAAAAAAAAAAACAGAGAACCAGAGGAACAAGAAAGCGCAGAGAATTAGAGGAACACAAAAGAGTAAAGAATCAGAGGAAGGTAGGGCAGAGGGTCAGAGAGGCAGAGAAGGGAAGCAAGGAGGAAAAAAACAGGAGCAGAAAGGCAAAGCAGCAGAGAAACAGAGAAGTAGAGATCTGGATCTTGGTCCCAGAAGAGTCCTGTAGGACAAAGTGGATCCAGAGATCCAGATCACTTGGTCCCAGAAGAGTCCTGTAGGACAAAGTGGATCCAGAGATCCAGATCACTTGGTCCCAGAAGAGTCCTGTAGGACAAAGTGGATCCAGAGATCCAGATCACTTGGTCCCAGAAGACTCCTGTAGGACTAAGTGGATCCAGAGATCCATATCACTTGGTCCCAGAAGAGTTCTGTTAGGACAACGTGGATCCAGAGATCCAGATCACTTGGTCCCAGAAGAGTCCTGTAGGACAAAGTGGATCCAGAGATCCAGATCACTTGGTCCCAGAAGAGTCCTGTAGGACACAAAGTGGATCACATGGACGCCCCTCTAATTTGCCAGACACATCTGGGATCCAGGCCTTCACATTTTTACTTCAAAGCAAAACCGAGACAGAAGCTAAAGTGCAGAAGATATGAAGAAGTGGATAAACAGAGAGATATATTGTTGGCGAGAGGATAGACTAAGGAGAGAAACGGAGAAGCACAGAAGGTAAAGTGTTGAAATAAGCAGAAGCAGAGAACATAAAAAGCAAAGCAGCACGGAAGCAAACACACGTAGAAGAACCAGAGCAGCGAAGCAACAACAGAAGCAGCACCTGGGATGCCCAGAGATGGAAAGGAAAGCAGGATTGTCTGAGGCAGCAGCACAGGAGGGGATGGTGGTGGGCCAGAGGAGGTTGGCTTCAGAGAGAGGAGTGCAGATGGAGGAGTCAATGGAAGGGAAGCCACTGAGATATGAATGGGGAAAGCCGGCCTGAGAGAAGCCACTCCGCTGTCATTGGGGGAAAGCACATGAGCAACCATGGAAAACCACCTAGGCGATCCTTTTGCAAAACTCTTCTGGACCGGCATCCACTGTGTAACGTTGTCAAGTCGTCTCGGACTCACTTGACTACTTGTGGCTGTGAAGCAGAGGGGAACCCCGCCACAGGAGCGCGGCATTGCCGCGCAGCCGAAAGCAGTGCTGATCCTGGAAAATTCCCAGGCGGTATTGCATTTCCTCCGGGCGGCAAACTGAATGGTCCAATGGTCCAGCGGGTTGGTGCTTTTGGTTTGGAATGGAGGCGCAGAATGTGCATTCCGAACCTCCTGGACAGTGTCTATTCTGGAAGGCTGGAGGTAAAATAAATAAATAAAAACACGCTGCACCAGTTGTTTTAGACAGCTAGAGTTAAACAAGTCAGATGTAGATGCACAAAAAACAAGCCAGAAATGTCATTACATAGTCAGATCCAAATAGAGATGTCAGATCAAGAACTTCCAGAGTCTAGAACAACTCATATGTAGGCCACGTAGGTCCGAGATAATAAGTGAGAACTTTAAAAAATGCACATTTTCAGTGGGAGGGCTTCAAGTGGAAGTATGAGACCGACTGGAAAGAAGCACTAGAAGGGGGTTTTGTCACTACTAGTAGGACTCCTTGCTACGGAAGTGTGTGTAAAAAAGTATATACTTGCAGATTATGAGATAATATTTTTTCTGGGGGTGTCGAACTTGCTGGCGACTAGTGGAGATTACTTACTAGAGTTAGAATTAGCATTCCTAGTAGGTTACATGCTAATGCTAGCTAGATACTTCACCGAAGTAGATGTTCTGTATCCGACTCTCTGAAGTTCATGATTGGGCTTTGGGAGGGGTAGTTGGAGGGGAAGAGAGAGCTCAGGCAGGAACACTTGTCAGGTGGTTCCGCTTGTTCTGTTCCTAAGGGTGTGCCGCCCAGACGACGGAAAACTGGGCGAAGTGCAGTTCGCTCTAGACCCTAGCACAACTGTGGTGGCATTATCTGGTCCGACTATAATACCAAACCGTTTCACAGCTTTAAAACATCTCACTGAACCGCACCGTGCGTGAACCAACTTTCAGTGACGTCAAGTTCTCAGCTGCAGAAAAAAATCCCTCTTGACAGAGCACAGCAAGCAAAAACTGGGAGGAAATGACGGGCCGCCCCGTTTTCTAGATTCGGATTTCTTTGGGCAGTGGTTTTGACACCGCCTAAGCTTTGCGCTCGCGTCCGATTCCTTGGGGCAGATAATTCCGACATTTTCGATAACCTTGTGGCCAGGGCAAGTATGAATGTTACCTGGTTTCAGTTTAGTGGCCAGTGAATAAAATCAACCCCTTTTGGACGGCAAGCCATTCGGGGGGCATCAACCATAAAACTCCTTGTCACATAGTGTTTAGGGTTGATTCTGCCCAAGTTCATGTATTTCCCGAGAGGGTAATATATTTGTCTGCCTCAAAAAATAGCCACAATGACAACAAACTGCCCGTCGGAATTGGACGTGATCGCGGAGCAATGTGTGGTAAAAAACACTGCCCATTGGAATAAAAAAAAAGAAAACACGGTGCTTCGTCATTTCCTCAAAACCTGGACTTGTGTGCGGCAAGAGGGATGACAGCGATTTACAGTACAGCGAATCGACAGAGCGGATGTGCCACGCCGCAGGCTGACTGGCTGAACTTGCAATATGTGACGCGTACGGCCAATCAAAAGTTTGTTGGTAAGGACTGAATCACAGAGGCCAAATCACGCAGGTGGCGTCCTGGATGTCTGCACTGTCACTAACTATCATAACAAGTCAGGTTGAGCACAATTTGAAGTTTCCCTCCTGCCTAATTCAATCAACCATCCGGTAATATGGCGTGTCTGTTTCAGTGTATCCAGAAAATTCTGAGGGTCTTCCTGGGGATCAGCGCGTTTCTATTACAGGTGCAATATGGATTACGCTGAGAGGTTTGTTAATACTCACTGAATTAACCTTTTAGAGCTGACGAAAAGAAGATGCTACAATCCATCTAGGTTTGTACGATGATCCCGCTTGAGATTCGAGTGCAGTGTAGAGTACAGATCCATTTTTCCAGTATATTTTCCAAGCAGGACACTGAAAATGTTTAATCCACGTAGGCTCCGATATACACGAATGCGAGAATTTGAAGTTTGTCGTTGTCCTAGCCGCCACGCCGTGCCGCCGCCCCCAGAAGGGCATGCATCCGGTCAGGGAGGCATCAACCCTAAACACTGGGAAGCGTGGATTTAGGGTTGATGCCTCCCTCGGATGGCAATGCCATCCGATGGGGGTTTAAGTTTTTTTCTGCCCGAGGCAGCATGTCGTCAAGTCGTCAGAGGGTCGTCAGGCTTGACGACCCGTTTCCGCTGAGATGTTTAGGTGAACTGGAGGGTCATGCTAAGCACGGAAAGTGCGGCAAGATGTTTAGGTGAACACCAGACCAGACACAAGGGTAGTGGTGTATTGTCGGTAGTTTCGGCAACATGTTTCTTGCGTTCACACGATGATCACGCGAATTTTTTTGGTCAGCCACGTTACAAGCACCCCACGCATGAATCAACATCAACAAAGAGACCAACGTCAAAGTGAAGAGACTGAATTGTCAACGAATAAGTTACAAATAAGTCTGCGAATTGACAAATCTTTGCGAACAAAAAAAAAACAATTAACCGCTTTATTAAAAAGCTAACCATGGGTTACTCAAACAAAAACAAAGTGTATGCTATGTGGCTGCTGAAATTCGAACATTTGTGGTCAAGAGGGCGGTAATGCTTCGTGTCGCCTTCTCACATGGGACTTCAAGCTCCGAAGCGGCTGCATGTGGTTGAGGGTTCAAGCTGCAAATAGAGATTTACTGTGGCGCGCCACCGCGACCAAATTGCGGAATATCTTGACCATTCGCGAGGCGAAGATAACACAGTTGTCCTGCAGAAAGTCATTGGCACATTACAATACATTCTTGTACAAAAGATACAAATCTCACACTTCACATAAAAACTGATATACAATTCTACTGATTATTTCATCAGAGACTCGCACTCAGCAACAATTGCTGTGAGCAAGCCCAGCTGCAGTGCCCGATGCCATCTGCCTCTCATCGGGACCTCCTTCCCTTCCACTCTCTCGTGTCCCACATTCTCCTCCCCGCCTCTCACTCCCTCCTTAGCATTCTCCAACTCTCCCACCAATCCACCCTGCCCATCCACAACCTCCCCTGCTCCCACCCCTCCTTCCATTCCATCCATTTCTCCACCACCCTCAGCCTCTCCCCTTGCGCCCACACTGTATTTGTTGCATCTCAAAGCTTCTTCATCCTCTACACCCTTTCCCCTGGGATCAGTTGCCTTGGCTTTAATACCCCCACCACCATCACCACAACCAGCCACAAGCTGGCAAAACTCCTGATGCAGCTTCCCCAGCTGCAACAGAGCACCTGAACCAGAGCTGGTACCTGACAAAACACCTCGTGAGACACCTGATGAGCCTCCAGGCAAGCTGCATAGCTTCGAGTTTCCATAAACCACCTGCTGCCACCACCAAGGTGCCTGTATACCCTCGTTACAGTCGCTCGCCTCTCCACACAGCTCCATCTCCTTTATAAGATGCTTCTGTACAGCGCTTAGCAACTCACTGTCTGAAATTCCCATCCAATCCACACCACACACTTCCCCTGTGCCACCTGCTCTCTGCTTCTTCAGCAGCTTCTGCTGGTGGTGCTTCTGCTGGTGATGCTTCTGCTGGTGGTGCTTCTGCTGGTGGTGCTTCTGCTGGTGGTGCTTCTGCTGGTGATGCTTCTGCTGCTGCTGCTTCTGCCCACGCTTCTGGTGCTGCTTCTGCCCCTCCCAGCTTGCACCTTTGCCACAACTGCGTTCCCAACACCCATCATCACCATCACCATCACCATCATCCTCACCATCAGAACTGAAGTCCTCCTTGCTGCTCTCATCATCACCATCATCATTATCGTCATCAGCTGAACACTCCCACCTCCTCTTAACTCCCCTGACTCCTCCCCACCACTCTATACCCTCCGGATCATGCGAACCTTTGTCCGGACCACTTTTCTCCCCATCCCACTTCCTCCTCTTCCTCTCCCCTCCTTTCATTTCCTTCAACCCACATCTCCCTCTCTCCTGCTCCCTCAACCTAGCGGCAGCAGCACCAGACACAGGCTCGGGTTGGGGTTCAGGCTCCAGCTCAGGCTCGGGCCGAGCCTGGTGACCCGAACCAGCACCACTCGTTTGCAGGAAGAGCAGTTGTGAGAGGGACCGTTTTCGACCGGGGAGAGAGGCAGCTGAGTTAGGAATACCATCTCCTACACAGGGAGGGATAGATGAAGAAGTAAGATAAGATGAGGGTGGATTAGCAGCAGCTTCTGCAATTGCGGCTGTAGCAATTGGTGCTGCTACAGTGGTTGTAGCAGTCGCTGCATTCACAATAGCAGCAGTTGCAGCTTCGCCTAATGGCGGTTCTGCTGCTGCTAAAGCTGTTTCTGTTGTGGTTGCTGCTGCTACTGCCGGGGTTTCCATCGGGCCTGCCTCTGTCCCTTCACTCCACTGGTGAACTCGAATCCTCCTCTTCATCCACCTCAGCCCGCCCCCAGTCCCTCGCCCTTCCCCTGCTCTCCCTCCTCCTCCTCCTCCTCCTGCTCCTTCTCCCTCCCGTGCTCCTCCTCCTGCTGCTGCTCCTTCCCCTGCTGTTCTTGCCGTCCTTTCTGCTGCCACTGCCGCCGCCGCTGCTTCTGGCACCCCAGCTTGTCGGTACACAACTCTCACACCTGACTCTCCCTCCTCACTCACAACTCGCGGAATGGCCGACCCATCCACTCGTGCCGCAGCCTTCCCCCCCAGCTTCCCCTGCTGGTGCCTCCACAACAGCTGCTCCCCTCCAGCCTCCATCCTCCCCTGCAGATCCATACAATGCTGCCGACGCTCGTCGCCCGGCTCTGAACCATGCTGCACTGGCTCTACTCGTTCTTCTCTCAGACAAACGGTTGCTGGAATAACCTTAGCATTCCTTCCCTCCCCTGCTCTTCCCCACTGCCCCAGCTCCTGCCCCTGCCCCTGCCCTTGCCCCTGCCCTTGCCCCTGCCCTTGCCCCGGCTCTCTCCAGAAGGCAGAGTGGGTAACGATCGCAGCGTACTGCCCCTTGTTCTTCCCATCTAGCTGCCTGCGGTACCCAAAGAGGGCGGCAAGGAGCATGAGCGCCTGCTTCTTAATGGTGAGCAGCTGAGAGGAGGAAAGGCCGTGCGACAGGAAGATCTCCCTATAGGCCTGGAGGGGGGGGGAGGGGGGGATGGGCGGAGTGGTGGGGAGAGGGGAGCGGGAGACGGGGAGATGGGGCAGGAGGGGGAGGAGAGCGAATTGTGGGGAAGTGCTCTTCTCTCCACCAGCAGCGTACTGCCCCTTGTTCTTCCCGTCCAGCTGCCTTCGATACCCAAAGAGGGCAGCAAGGAGCATCAGCGCTTGCTTCTTGATTGCTAGGAGCTGCGAGGAGGAGAGGCCGTGCGACAGGAAGATTTCACGATAGGCCTGCAGGAGGACGGGAGGGGAGAGGGAGAGGGAGAACGAGGAGTTTGGATGGTTGTAATCGCAAAGAGGGCAGCAAGGAGCATCAGCGCTTGCTTCTTGATTGCTAGGAGCTGCGAGGAGGAGCGGCCGTGCGACAGGAAGATCTCCCGATAGGCCTGCAGGGGGGAGAGAGGGGGAGGGGGAAGGGGAGAGGGGTGTGGATGGTTGGGTATTCCAAAGAGAGCAGCAGAGAGCATCAGCGCTTGCTTCTTGACTGTCAGGAGCTGCGAGGAGGATAGGCCGCGTGACAGGAAGATTTCACGATACGACTGCAAGGGAGGGAGGGGGGGAGGGGCAGAGGAGGGGGAGAGGGGCGAGCGAGAGATGAGGGAATGGGGAGGAAGGCGGGGGAAAAGTGACTGGAAGTGGGTATCACTCCTTCCCTTGGCGTGGTTCTGAGCGCCCAATCGAGCCCCATTTAGAGGCCACGGTGCAATACGTGGCAGCAATTTGTTGAAAATGACACCGAGGTAGGTGAATGGTGTTTGTTCCTACGCAAAAGTGACTGGAAGTGGGTATCACCCCTTCCCCTTGGCGCGGTTCTGAGCGCCCTCCAGCTGACAGCACATGGCCTAACGGAACCCCACCCAACCACTCTACACTCCTAACAACCTGCGGGCTCTTCACTCACCTTGAGCAGGGGCGAGCCTATTCTCTGCAGGTGCCTAGGGTATCAGAAGAATTGCGGCACCTTGGCACGGCTCTGCGCGCCCACCAGCGCCCACCGTGCACAACACAGCACAGCACAGAACCCCACCCATTCCCAGCAACTACACTTAAGTGCATTTTGAGGCGCCTCAAAATGCACAGCACAGAACCCCACCCATTCCCAGCAACTACACTCACTTTGAGCAGCGGCGAGCCTATGCGCTGGAGGTGCCGAAGATATCGGAAGAATTGCGGCACCTTGGCACGGCCCTGGGCGTCCCCCAGCGCCCACTCCTCTGGGTCCCTCACAAACGCCAGGAACAGACTTGCCACTTCTCCTGTCTCCTCCTCCTCCTCCCCTGCTGCTACTGGTAGTGCTGCTGCTGCTGCTGTTGCTGGTTTTGGTGGTGGTGCTGCTGCGGGTGTTCCCGCATTTCCTCTGTCCTCTACCTCGTCTCCCCTGTTTGCTCCCTCATTCTCTCTGTTCTCTCCCTCGTCTACTCTGCACTCTGTGATGCAATCTACATCACCCTGCCCCTGTCCCTCCCTAGTCTCCTCCCAGAGGCAACCCAGCCTCCCTTCCTCCTCCTCCAAAGCCCCATCAGCGAAAATGAGCTCTTGAAATGACACTGGCTTCGGTGTAACCAGCTGTTGCTGTGGCGGAATTGCTAATGCAGCTGCTGGTGGTGGTGGTGCTGCTGCTGGTGTTGCTGCCGGTGCTGCAGGTGGTGATGCTGCTGCTTCTGGTGCTGCTGCTGGTTGTGTTGACGCTCCAGTTAAAGCTACTGCTGTGACTGCTGATTCTTTGGTCACACCTGCCCCAGTCACACCCGCCACTGTCACACCTGCCCCAGTCACACCCGCCACTGTCACACCTGCCCCAGTCACACCCGCCACTGTCACACCTGCCCCAGTCACACCCGCCACCGTCACACCTGCTCTGCATCTACCCTCTGTTGCATGAGTGACCCTTGGATCTAACTTCCTCTGTGATTCATCTGGCCCTCCTTCCCCCCCTTCTCCCGCTCCCCCTCCCTCCCCTCCCTCCCCTCCTTCCCCTCCTTCCCCTCCGTCCCCTCCCTCCCCTCCGTCCCCTCCCTCCCCTCCGTCCCCTCCTTCCCCTTCCCCCCTTCCTTCCCCACCTTTCCCCACCTCCCCTCCCTCCCCACTCTCGCCAACCATTGGTGCTCTCCTAACCACACCAGTCAGACCACTTGCGTCTGAGCCCCCTGCCAACCCCACAGCACCGCTTGCAACAGTCTCAGAACCACTAGGTAAATCCAGTGCACCTCCTGCCGAAGCGTCTGGAGCTGCAAAGTTTGGTGCTAAACCCTCTGGCGCTACAGCTTGTGGTGCTACAGCTTGTGGCGCTACAGCTTGTGGTGCTACAGCTTGTGGCGCTACAGCTTGTGGTGCTACAGCTTGTGGTGCTACAGCTTGTGGTGCTACAGCTTGTGGTGCTACAGCTTGTGGCGCTACAGCTTGTGGCGCTACAGCTTGTGGCGCTACAGCTTGTGGCGCTACAGCTTGTGGTGCTACAGCTTGTGGTGCTACAGCTTGTGGTGCTACAGCTTGTGGTGCTACAGCTTGTGGTGCTACAGCTTGTGGTGCTACAGCTTGTGGCGCTACAGCTTGTGGTACAGCTTGTGGCGCTACAGCTTGTGGTGCTACAGCTTGTGGTGCTACAGCTTGTGGTGCTACAGCTTGTGGTGCTACAGCTTGTGGTGCTACAGCCTCTGGAGTTAACACCTCTCCAGCTAAACCCTCTGGCGCTACAGCTTGTGGTGCTACAGCCTTAGGAGTCATAGCTTTTGGTGCTGTATCCTGTGGTGCTACAGCCTCTGGCGTTACAGCTTGTGGTGCTACAGTTTCTGGAGTTGATATCTCTCCTGCTAAACACCCTGATGCTACAGCTTGTGGTGCTACAGCCTCTGGAGTTAGAACCTTGCCTGCGAAACCCTCTGAAGCTACAGCTTGTGGTGCTGACTCGACTGTCGATTCGGCCGGAGCACAGGCCGTCCGGGTGGCCTCCTCATTCCCTTTCCCTTTCTTCCCCTTCTCCTTCCCTTCTTCCTCCCCTTTTTCATTCCCCTTCTCCCCATTCTCCCCCTTCCCCCCCCCCTCCCCGTTCTTGTCCCCTTTCTCCCGTTCCTCCACCTGTTCACCCCCCTCCGCCTCCCCATTCCACCCCATTCCCCGCCACTTCTCCTCCCCCATCTGCCCATCCCCATCACCATTCCTCCTCTGCTCCTCCCCCCTCTGCCAGTGCACCAGACCAGCAATCGGCAGGCAACGAGAACAGCTCAACCCATCACCTACTTCCATACTCACTTCTAAACACACGAGAGAATGAAGCACGGACCATCCTCCACCGCCCCTCCCCTCTACAAGCCTTTCTCCTCCCGTATCCCCCGCTGCCTCTCCTCCCGCAAATCCTTCTGTGTTTCTCCTGCACTCTTCTCCCCATCCATCAACCCACTCCCATCGCCGGCCTTTGCCCCTGCTGCTGCCCCCACTAAGCCCTGCTACAGCCGCTGCTGCTCCTGCAGCCACTGCTGCTACAGCTGCTGCTACAGGTGTATTCTCAGCCGACTCAAAACCACCACTTGCTGCTACACGTGCTGCTGCTACAGGTGCTGCTGCTACATGCGGTCTCCCTGCAAAATCGAACTCACCACTTGCTGCTGCTGCTGCTGATGCTGTTGCTACTGAAACAGATGCTACAGATGCTTTATCGGTCAACTCAATAGCACCACGTTCTCCTGGTACTCCTGCTACTCCTGCTACAGCTGCTGCAAGTGGCACTGTATTTGTGACTACCGATGCTGTCGCTGCAGCCGTTGCAATCTCAAGTCCAGTCTCTTTCAAAGCCACAGCCGTTGCTGCTCCTACAGCTATTGCTGCTGCTACAGCTGCCCCATTAGCTGGAGCTCCCAATGTCACAGTTGCTGCATTACCTGCTTCACTGATACTCGGTGCTACCTGTCCTGCTCTTCCAATCTCTCTCGATCTCTCAGCAACCCTCATGACCCCTTCACCCCTCAAGACGTCCTGACCCTGCCCCTCACTCTCCCTCACTTCAGCTCCCCCGAACACCTCCTCTCCTCCTCCCTCCTCTCCTTCCTCCTCCTCCCCTCCCTCCTCCCCTTCCTCGTCGTCCTCCTCCTCTCCCTCATCGCCTGCTCCCCTCCCCATTCCATTTCTCACCCATCCAGACCTCCAATCCTCTGTATAAGCCTCCCCACTACCAGCAGCTGAGCAGCCCTCGCCTGCACCTTCCCCATTACCAACACCGCCAACACCCCTCCTCCCCCCACACCCCCTCTTCCCCACACCTCCCCCCAAGCCCATCTCGTCCAATCGCGTTGCATGAATCTGCCAGGCTGGCATCTCGGATATGATCTTTAAAAGCCGGTGTTTCTTCCATGCCCGCATGTTGCCTGGGGTGGATCAAGGGGGGGGGGGGGGGGGGGGAGGGGGGGGGGGGGATGTGTCGCAGTAGAGGAGGAACGCAGAGAATCCCTTTTAAGTCTGCCGGGCTAGCATCTGCTTCGCTGGCATATCAATAACCATCTGCCGGGCTAGCATATCCGATACGATTTTGACCACTTGGCGATTCTTTCATGCCCTCATAGCGTGCACTTGTCAGTCATGATAAATAAAACAGGCCATACCACGTTACCATTCCCATGAGCTACCTGTGACTCCCATGAGGTATGCAAACAGCTCCAATGCTGTCCGCTTTTCCCGCCGCAGCTCGTTCATGCCGATGCTGTGAGCAAAGAACGCCTGCTGGTACGGCTGGGAAATGGAGAATATGCAACGGGAGGGGAGTGCAAAGTGCAGGGTTGAGAAAGAACGGGAGGGTTGAATGCACACACGAGCCACACTTTTCCCGCCGCAGCTTGTTCATGCCGATGCTGTAAGCAAAGAACGCCTGCTGGTACGGCTGGGATAAGGGGAATATACGAAGGGAAGGGAGGGCAAAGTGCAGGGTGGAAGGGAGGGTTGAGAGTAGTACAAGCCACTCTTCTCCCGCCGCAGCTCGTTCATGCCGATGCTGTGAGCAAAGAACGCCTGCTGGTACGGCTGGGAAAAGGAGTATATGCAACGGGAGGGGGGCGCAAGGTGAGGGTTTCAGGAAGAAGGCTGTATTGGTAGGGTAGGGCTGGGGGGAGGAGAGACGAATGGGAGCGGAGAATCGTTTAAGAAGGGTGAGTGGAGTATGAGAAGGGAGAGTATGAGAAGGGAGAGTATGAGAAGGGAGAGTATGAGAAGGGAGAGTATGAGAAGGGAGAGTATGAGAAGGGAGAGTATGAGAAGGGAGAGTATGAGAAGGGAGAGTATGAGAAGGGAGAGTATGAGAAGGGAGAGTATGAGAAGGGAGAGTATGAGAAGGGAGAGTATGAGAAGGGAGAGTATGAGAAGGGAGAGTATGAGAAGGGAGAGTATGAGAAGGGAGAGTATGAGAAGGGAGAGTATGAGAAGGGAGAGTATGAGAAGGGAGATTATGAGAAGGGAGAGTATGAGAAGGGAGATTATGAGAAGGGAGAGTATGAGAAGGGAGAGTATGAGAAGGGAGAGTATGAGAAGGGAGAGTATGAGAAGGGAGAGTATGAGAAGGGAGAGTATGAGAAGGGAGAGTATGAGAAGGGAGAGTATGAGAAGGGAGAGTATGAGAAGGGAGAGTATGAGAAGGGAGAGTATGAGAAGGGAGAGTATGAGAAGGGAGAGTATGAGAAGGGAGAGTATGAGAAGGGAGAGTATGAGAAGGGAGAGTACAATGGAGCACAGAAAGCCAAACGCACACATACTCACCTCCAGCATTGTTGGATTGTTTTCCGCCATCTCCCTTATAAACTTCCCCAGTCTCGTTACAACCATGCCCCCTTTCAGCGCGCACGCCCAGTGCTTCGGATCCTCCAGAAACTGCCGAAGCACGCCGCCCAGCTCGTCGTCCCCCGCCTGCCGGACGCGGACGAGGAACGCCGACCGGTCCTGGCGGGAGGTCGGCAGCAGACGAGCGCATTTGATTGGCCGTATCCTTCCTGGAGCAGACCTTTTCCTGGAGCAATTGCCATTATCGGCATCATTGCTATTATTGGCAAGATCAGCACTATTGCTAATAATTGCAGGGGCAGTGCTATTATTAGCATGATTGCTGCTGACGTTAGTGGTAGGACTATGGGGAGGGGGAGTGGAAGCAGGAGTAGCAGCAGAAGTAGCGCCAGGAGGAGCAAGAGGAGGAGATGACGCATGTGTGTGTCCCCTGCCTGCTACAATCACAGCATCCCGCCCTTCTGCTGCTTCCACTGCTGCTGCTCCTCCTCCTGCGCCTCCTGGTCCTCCTGGTCCTCCTGCTCCTGCACCTCCAGCCGCCCCAGCCCCCACACCTGCCCCTGCTACTGCTCCTGCTCCTGCCCCTGCCTCTGAACCCATCTCAACCGCTCCTCCCTCCCCTGCACTCCCTCGTTCTCCGCTTCCACCCCAAGTGTCCGTCAATGCCATTGCCTGCACGACCTCCCCGTTCTTCTTCAAGACTTGAGGCAACATTGCCCCCCTGAGCCCTGAGCTATTGGTTGCATTCCCAGTCCCCCCTTTCTCATACTCCTTCCACGCATCTGTGGATGCTATAGCCTGCACGAGGTCTTTCTTGTTGAGCTCGTCCAGGCGACCAGAGAAGCCCAGCAGCAGTGCGAGCAGCATCAGCACCCACTTCTTGCACGCTCGCAGGTCGTGTAGGGTAAGCGAATGAGCAAAGAAGAGAGCCTGATAATGCTGGGAGTTCAGGATACGGTTGGTTGGAGGGAGGGGGAAACGGGTCGAACAGGGGGGATGAGAAGGGGAAAAAGAGCGCGACCAGCAGCATGAGAAGAGATGCTATAGCCTGTACGAGGTGACTTTTGAGGCGCCTCAAAAGTCGACCAGCAGCATGAGAAGACATGCTATAGCCTGTACGAGGTGACTTTTGAGGCGCCTCAAAAGTCGACCAGCAGCATGAGAAGACATGCTATAGCCTGTACGAGGTGACTTTTGAGGCGCCTCAAAAGTCGACCAGCAGCATGAGAAGACATGCTATAGCCTGTACGAGGTCCTTTTTGTTTAGCTCGTCCAGGCGACCAGAGAAGCCCAGCAGCAGCGCGAGCAGCATCAGCACCCACTTCTTGCACGCTCGCAGGTCGTGTAGGGTGAGGCGATGAGCGAAGAAGAGGCTTTGATAGTGCTGTGGGTTAGGAGGGAAGGGGACAGGGGAAGGGAGGGGAAGGAAAGAAGCCCAGCAGCAGCGCGAGCAGCATCAGCACCCACTTCTTGCACGCTCGCAGGTCGTGCAGGGTGGGGCGATGGGCAAAGAACTTAGTGGGAATATACGCTTAACACCTTAAGCGTATAGCGTATGTACGCTAGCGTACATACGCTATCCGCTATACGCTAGCGAATACGCTATACGCTATCAGAAAATTTTTAGGGCTGCCCGAAAAAAAATCGCAAAAAAGAATTCCTAGGTGAGCATTTCGCCATAGTCGAAATTCAAATCCGCGGTCTAGGCAAACGGGGATCTGACTTCGAAGTCGTCTGGCAAATCTTGAATTTGAGATCGATATAGGGATTGAAATCCATCCCTTCTACCGCATTGAACCCCACTTTATCTACAAACACCAACCTGTCAAATTTAACCCCCCAACAAATCTCACGGTACTTACCAGCCAACCCTTTTGGCTAACCCTAACTCGTCATTTCGTTCCCGCTTTCACCAGAGTTCACGCTACTTCGCTTTCAAGCTATTAGGTCTACTCCACCTCCCATTGTACTAGTCATTCGGATTCAGGATTATGCTAGGGCAAGCCTTAATAAGAAGAGGGAGTACTTTTTTCACCTGCCCGGAAAGTTTTTCCTCTGCCCGAAAAAGCGTATCTGCAAACCGGACCCCTAAGCGGATAGCGTATATACGCTAGCGTATATACGACACGCGTATATACGCTATACGCGAATATTCCCACTTCGGCAAAGAAGAGGCTCTGATAGTGCTGTGGGGAATGGGGAATGAAGGGGTGGAGTGAGGGAAGTAGGAGGGGCGGAAAGGGGCGATAAAAGGGGGGAAAGGGAGCGCGAGCAGCGGCATGAGCAGAGAGGCTATAGCTTGCAGGGAGGTCTTTCTCGTTTAGCTCGTCCAGGCGGCCAGAGAAGCCCAGCAGCAGTGCGAGCAGCATCAGCACCCACTTCTTGCACGCTCGCAGGTCGTGTAGGGTGAGACAGTGTGCAAAGAACAGGCTTTGATAGTGCTGTAGTTTCAGGGAAAAAGTGGACGGGGGGGAGGGAAAGGAGCAGTGCGAGCAGCATCAGCACCCACTTCTTGCATGCTCGCAGGTCGTGTAGTGTGAGGTGGTGAGCAAAGAAGAGGCTTTGATAGTGCTGTGGTTTCAGGGGGGAGGGGGGAGCGGGTTGAAGAGGAAAGAAGCAGCGCGAGCAGCATCAGCACCCACTTCTTGCACGCTCGCAGGCCGTGAAGTGTAAGAGCGTGAGCAAAGAAAAGAGCCTGGTAGTGCTGTGGTTTCGAAGCGAAGGGGGTTGGGGAGAGGGAGGGAGGGAGGGGGGCAGCATGAGCAGCCGCGTGGGCAGCATGGACACCCACTTCTTGCAGACTCGCAGATTGTGCAGGAGTGGAAAAAAAATCATTGAACTGAAACTCACCCCGACAGACTTCAAAACCCTTAACCCTAGCACCTGCTAAACCCTGACAAGTAAACCTTGCACGCAATGCACTCTCACCTGAAGCAGCAGCGGCTCGCACACATGCGCCTTGCGCAGAAATGCAAAGATAGCATTGAACTGAAACTCCCCCCGATGATCCACCAGATTCCACTCCCTCGGGCTCTCCAAAAACCGCTCCAGCATCCCGCCGTACTGCCGAACCTCCTCCTCCCCCACCCGAACCTGCGCCGCAGCCGCGGCGGCCAGCTCCGGTGGCAGGCCCGGGACAGGCCCGGTGACAGCCGCGGCAACGAGGCGCTTCTCCATAGCATGAGGTCTGTTCCAAGGCTCGGAGGTTGCTATGATGGTGAGGAGCTTGGGTTTGTTTTTGGCTCCGGTTCGCACGGGGCTGACGAGGGTGGCGAAGAGTTGTACGACTGATAGCATTTCGAGCTTGATGTCCTCGAGAGTTAGTCCGTGCGAGAGAAACATGTCCTGCAGATGCTGCGAGTGAGAGTGGTGGAAAGTACCGGAGAGAAGTGGAAAGGGGTGGAGAGGGGTGGAGAGGGGCGGAGAACAGAGCGTGGATGGAAGGGAGAGGCTGACGAGGTTGGCGAAGAGCTGTACAACTGAGAGCATCTCGAGCTTGATGTCTTCCAGGGTGAGCCCGTGTGAGAGAAACATGTCCTGCAGATGCTGTGAGTGTGGTGCAGAGCGGCGAAATGGGGTGGGGAAGGGTGGAGGGCAGAAAGGGGGGTGGAAAGGGGTGGGGAGGGGTGATGAACAAGGGTGAGCGCGGATGGAAGGGAGAGCGTGCAGGGGCTGACTAGGGTGGCGAAGAGGTGTACCACTGAGAGCACCTCGAGCTTTATGTCCTCGAGAGTTAGTCCATGAGCAAGAAACATGTCCTGTAGTTGCCGTGAGAGTGGTGGAGAGCGGTGGAAAGGGGTGCAGAGGGGCGGAGATGGGCCGAGAACAAGGGTGAGCGAGGTATGGAGGGGAGGGAGAGGACACGGGGCTGACGGGGCTGACAAGGGCTGACGGGGCTGCAGATGCTGGTGAAAGGAGTGCAGAGCGGTGGAACGGGGGTGGGAAGGGGTGGAGAGTGGTGGAGAGGGGTCGAGAGGGGCAGAGAGGGGCGGAGACGAAGGTTGGGCGTGGTGGACGGGAGGGCGAGCACAGGGCTAACGAGGGTGGCACAGAGTTGCACAACTGAACTGACAGCATCTCAGCATCTCAGCTTTATGTCCTCAACTGACTGACAGTAAGACCGACAGTAAGACCATGAGAGGGAAACATGTCCTGCAGGGTGTTTTTGAGAATTCTCAAAAACATCCTGCATCGAGTTGCACAACTGACAGCATCTCAGCTCAGCTCTATGTCCTCGACCGACAGTAAGACCACTAGAGAGAAACATGTCCTGCTTGGTTTTGGTTTTCTCTCCTTACCTCTAGTTTCGGGTCGCCTTCTCGTCGCAGACCCCTCAGGTAAATTCTCAGGTGGGCAATGGACGCGCCTCCCTTCTCCACCTGGCCCCACCTGGCTCTGTTGCTCAGGAAATCCTTCATGTCAATTTCCAGCTCCTCAGGTGTCATCTTGTTCCCAGGAACAGTTACTGCTGCAGTCGAAACTGTTCTGGCAGCAGTTGAAGCTGTCCCGTGAGCAGTTGAAACGGGCCATGCTCTAGTTGAAACCGTTCCAGTTGCACTTGAAACTGTTGCAGACACTGTAGCTGCAGCGAATGTGACTTGTGGTGCTGCTATAGCTACTGCAGCACCTCTAGCTGCTGCAGCTGCTGGGAACCTTCCTGGTACAGCTCTCCCTGCTGCTGATCCTCCTCTTTCTACTGCTGCTGTCCCAACTCCTGCTGCCACCGCAGCTGTTTCTGCTTGCGCAATTGCCATAGAGCCTGCTGCTGCAGCTCTCACTGGTAGTACTATCCCTCTCCTTTCCATCCCTGCACTTTCCCCCCCAGGACTCTCAGCACTGGTCAAAACTGCCAGGGGTACAGCTAATTCTGGCACTGCTGCTGCTGCTTCTCCTACTGCTGCTTGTGCCACAACCGCTGCTGCTGTGTCACCTGCTGCCCCTGCTGCCCCTGCCGCCCATGCCGCCCATGCCGGCCCTGCTGTTCCTGCCACTGCTGACGACGCTCCAGCTTCAACTTGTGTTGGCTGCAGTGCATATGGTGCTCCTGGTCTTGCCCTTGAAACAGGTTCGATAGCTGCACCAACTGCTCGCTCAACTACCACCGCTGCTGCTGTTCCTACTCTCCCTGCTCCTGCCCCTGGTGATGGTAGTGTTGCTGCTACAGCAGGTAATGTACTTACTGCACGCTCTGCTACAGTCGCTGCTGCTGCTGCTGCTGCTGCTGCTGCTGTGTCTGGTTTTACTCTAGTTGTCGCAACAACAGGTGCTACATTTGCACTTACCGCACGTTCTGCTACAGACCCTTCTGCCTCGGCCCCTGCTGCCCATACTGCAGCTGGCGTTGCCGCAACAGCAGGCCCCATACTCGCACAGACTGCACGCTTTGCTAAAGCCCCTGCTGCTGCAACAGCTACAGCCGCTGCCCCTGGTGCTGCCGGCGTTGCTGCCACAACAGGTAGATTACTTGCATATACAGCACGCTCTGCTCCTGTTGCTGCTGTTGCTGTGTGTGCTGCCGCTGACGATTCACCTGCTTCGGATGCTGCTGGTTTCAGTGCGTGTGGTGCTGCCAGCGTTGCTGCCACAACAGGTAGATTACTTGCATTTACAGCACGCTCTGCTATTGTTGCTGCTGCTGTCTCTGCACCTGTTGACAATGCACCTGCTTCTAATGATGCTGGTTCCAGTGCGTATGGTGCTGCTGGTGTTACCCCTAGTGACTTTTGAGTCGACTCAAAAGTCTCTTCCAGTGCTTGTGGTGCTGCTGCTGTTACCCCTAGAACGGGTCCTGCACTTGCAACTGCTGCACGCTTCGCTACAGTCCCTCCTGCTGCTGCACCTGCTATTCCTGCTGGTGGTGCCAATGCTCTCACTGCTACTGGTGCAGCCTGCAACGCGTATGGTGCTGCTAGTGTTACCCCTAGAACGGGTCCTGCACTTGCAACTACTGCACGCTCTGCTACACTCAATGCTGCCGCTGCTGCTGGCGCCACTGCAGTTGATTCCACAGCTACTGCTCTTGAAAATATAGCTCCTGCTGCTGCTGGTGGTTCTGGTGCTGTTGGCGCTGCTTCTTCTGCTCCTGCTGTTCCTGCTTCTCTCACTGCTGCTGCTGCTTCTGTTGGCAAAAACACCCCATCGACCACAGCTACAGTGGCCTCTGCTTCTGCTCCTATGCAGCCGCCACGCACAGCCTCCCCTGCACTGCCTGCTTCCATTCCCACAGGTTCCCTGGCAGCAAAAGCAGGAACAGCAGGAAGAGTAGTAGCAGTAGGGGTAGAAACAGGAACAGCAGGAACAATGGGGGTAGCAGCAGCCTCCCTTGCACCGCCTGTTTCCACTGCCACGGCTCCTATGGCAGCAGGAACAGCAGCATCATCAGGGGTAGCTACAGCAGCAGCAGCGGCAACTGAGGTAGCGGAAACAGCAGCCGTGGCAGGGATGGCAACCACAGCAGCAGCAGCAGCAGCAGCAGCAGCAGTTGGAGGAGGAACGGCAGTAACTGCAGGTGCAGCAGTGGTAATCGTCTCCTTTTGTGGTTCCGATCGTTCATCACCTCTATCAGTAGCTGCTTGCACCTCCTCTAGAACCCCGCCTGTTACTGGCACACCTGTTAATGGGACATCCCCTGCAGGCATGCACGCTGCTTGCAGGTCTGTTAAATGCCCATCTATTACCGGCACATCAAGTTCTCCTGCTCCTGCTTCTCGAGCTACTGCTGCTGCTGCTTCTGCTGCGGCTTCAGACGCTGCCTGCCCTGCTGCTTCTTGCACGTCCGCTACAGGCCCGTCTATTACAGGCACATCTGGCCCTCCCGCTACTGCTTCTGGAGGTATTACAACTCCTGCTGCTGCTGGTGCTGGTGCTGCTTCCTCCCCTACCTTCTCTACAGCAGGTGATATTTGTGTTGCTGCTGCTTCTGCAGCTGCTGCTACTGCTGGTGCTGGTGCTGATGCTGCCAATGCTGCTGCTGCTGCTTCAGGTGTTACCTTCCCTGCTGTAGCCGCTACCCGTGTTATCTCCCCTTCGCCAATGCCCCTTTCGTCAAGCACTGATAGGGGCCTCCTTGCAGGTAACTCTGCACCATACTCTTTATTATACGCCTCGTTTACTGCTACGTGTCTCGCTGCTATCCCTTCAGCAAAGCCGCTATTGTCTGATGATATACGCCCTCTTTTACATAACTCTGCACCATACTGTGGCGCGGATAGATCCTCACGCAGGGCTTGCCAGTGGGCTCGTGCCACGTGGCCATCTGGTGCACGGACATCCGCCACGTCAGCAGCCAGCTGTCCGACAAATATCTCCTCATCGTCCAGCTCAGCGTCCCCCATCACTAGCTCCAATTCGATATCCGGCCCCTCTTCCCCCTCTATTCCCCCTCCGCTCTCCATTTCCCCTCCCCTCTCCATTTCCCCTCCCCTCTCCATTTCCCCTCCCCTCTCCATTGCCCCTCCCGCCTCCATTTCCTCTCCTCCTTCCTTTCCCTCTTGTCCATCCATTCTCTTTCCCCTGTCCGCCGCCTCTTCTTCCTCACTCCTCCCCTCCCCCTGCCCCTCCCCTTCGACCTGTCTAAGCTCGACCTCCTTTCCTTGCCCAGCCGTCTGCTCATTCCGCCCCTGCCCCTCTTCCCCCCCCTGCTCAACTAGTGCTTGCTCCGCTACAAGCTTAGACACGTGATCCGCTATAAGCTCACTATCGTACACGTCCTGCTCGCGCCCTTGCAGGTGCTTATGTGAATATTCATATCCAAGCACCTGAGCTTGCACCTGCGCTTGCGCCTGCGAAATTCGCTCTTCCAAATTGTGCACCTGAACTTGCACCTGCGTCTGCTCCTGCGCCTGAGCTAGCACCTGCGCCTGAGCCAGCTCCTGCACCTGGGATTGGGCCTGCTCCTGCGCTGGAGCTGCACGCTCTATCAGATCATTTCGTCTCTCTTCTTGCCCTTCCAGCCGCTTCAGCTCGTCCGTCTCCTCAACTGTCCGCATGCTCTGACTTATAACGAGTCCCTGATCCGTAGCTTGACTTTCATCCTCGATATAGTCATACTCCACTGCGTCAACCACCACGTCAGCTTCTGTCCCCCCATCTGCCAGCACATCAGGATCCCTCGCTTGTCTCAACGCCACGTCAGCATCCCCCCGACACTCCGGCCCAGATTCTAGCATCAGGTGCGGCGCTAACGGCGGCGGCAGCTGCGGCGCCATTTGCGAGGGTAAACGCGGCGGCCATGGATCTAGCCCCATGGTATCCCCAACTGAAGTGTGGTGATGGTGGTGGTGGTGGTGATGATGCTGATGGTGATGATGGTGATAATGATGATTCATGTTAATGTCCCCATCATGATACGGCGTAGGTACATGCTCCATAGACCCATGATGCGTCATTGACCTATGCTGCTCCATGGATTCTTGCTGCTCCATCGTGCGGTGGTGATGAATTCCCATGACCGGATCCAACGGTCCCGGATGCATCACATGTGCAGGCGCCGGTGGAGCATGATGGTGGTAACCCGCATTGTAGGTGGTAACCAGCGATCGCGACGAAGGATGGTATGCGAAACCCATACTGGAACCTTCATGCGGAGGGGGGGGAGGCATGGGGCCTGAGGAACCAGCACCAGGATGTGCGTGAAACGGGATGTGCATATAAGGAGGGTGAGTGTATAGAAAGTGTGCGTGATGATGCATCCCCGTTATTGGCCTGGAATGCCGATCAGTCGAGCCGTGCAAACCGTACTCCGAACTGAAACCGTACGGCGGTATTTGAGACGCCTCGAAAGGCGATAGCCCGTTTTGTGGGATTTTATATCTTGACGAATCCGCGATCTGCGCTTCCGCTCCCTCTGCCACGTCAGCGTCGTGACGTCGAACCGCTTCTTCCTCCTCCTCGTCCTCCTCATCCTCATCCACATTCACGACTAGGGAGTGATTCACGCCGTGATGCGCGGTGGAATGCGCTGCGGGATGCACGCCGTAATTCACGGCGTACCGATCGGCCTCAATCAACGGAACTGGATGGTGATACGACAGATGATGTGGAGGAGGAGGATACATCGGGACGGAGCCAGGGAATCCTGAGCGTCCATCTGTGTCGTCGAATTCGGCCGTGCCACCTGGCAGATCGTACGGCGACGAGAGCTCTGAGGGGTCCATAGCGACAAATCTCTGCTACAAAGGACCTGAAACGACAGGCATTGTCCATGTCAGCAACAGGACCGCTATAAACTTCTCCGAGAAACAATATACAGGACCGGGAAACGAGAACCGTAGCAGTTGACATGGCATTAGGGTTAGCATTGGTGGATTCCATAGCTGACGGATTTCCTCTCCCGGATATTGACCGACGATTTACTTCTAGTTCTAAAAAGAAGTGACGCTAACTCGACGGACACTCTGCCGGCACTACTGGGAAGAATTGACGTCGTCTAGACATTACCTGATTGAATAAGCTTCAGTTTGACGCTTTCACAGGCAAGTTCCCGCGTCGCCTGACGCACCGAGATTTCTTGAGGTGAAGACGAAATGGGTGGGGGCCTGAGAGGAAATGTGAGGTCAGACGCGAAACCCCGATTTCCTCCTACCTATGTCGACAATAGAAAGCTGAAAAGGGATAATGTACGCGAATGCCTGAAAGAGGGACCATGAATCTGCCATTAGGGTTCGGAGAGGAGGAGCGAGGGGACGAAGAGCGAAACCCCAAATGCGGATTATGGGAATGGGGGAGAATGAAAACCCTGAGTGAAGGGAGTGAAACCCCGAGGTGAGGTGGGAAGGGAGAAAAGGCGAACCACCAAAAGGAGTTTGATCATGGTATGTGATACAGTAGATACTGTACACCGCATTCAAAAAGCTCGCTATAGTTAGTTTGTCAACATAGCAAACGCGTTTCCTTGCGTGGGGATGCTTGTGCACGAAGAATGACGAATCGCTACTTCACATCCATGTTTCGCCTTGTTTCTTCGTCAAGCTTCGAATGAGGCAGGAACTCCATCTCGCGCACTCGCCCGCTCTTGCGTGACTTTCAGAACCCTCGACTAACATGTAACACACGCTGGATTTTCTGGATCTACTCTTCAAGGGCTTGTTAATGACACCAACATTGTGTTCAAACAGTGAACATCGGTTAGTCTTAACGTCGCTTAAGAAGATCTGTACTTTCAGGTTATAAAGCTGATCTTAAGCTCAAGACATTGAGTTACTCCAACGAAGCTTCAATGGTCGAGTTCATTTCAAATCGTCACCTAAAATGGGACCTGAGAATCAAGGCATTTTCACCAGAAGTAAAAATCTGCAAGTACAAGGAAGGTGGACCACGTAATATTTTCAGATTATCAGTTTTTGCTGCCATATATCAACAACCAGTGAAGAGGAAGAAAAGTCGGAATAAAGCGCCAGACATTAATCACGTGGTTTCACTACCTAAAGGCATGGCTGGATCTACTATTTCAAGTCATCACCCAGGATGGCATGGAGAAGAAGTTTCATGCTCTGGAGAATGTGAGAAGTATTTCTTCAAGGAACCAGAGCAACGACGTTCGACTCTCAAAGCGTCCGAAATAACTACGTTAACGACTGCTGAAGTGCTTGGAGGCGAAGAGGTTTTTCCGCTGGAAACGTTCAACCTGGAAGATTTTTCCTTGGCTCACCTGTTCAACGACGAGTACTTATTTTCTAAGGCTGTGGACGACGAAACGACATATAAATTTCGACATGAGAAAGGCTGGAAGTTACAGGAAGTGCATCTGCAACTGTTGGATAATGCTGACGGGAGTTTTATTACTGCTGGACGACATGGATTGATGCAAGATTTTCCTGAAGTTGCTGTGCTCTCTAGAGCCAGGATAGTAGAAGCTGGTCCTCATAGGCGTCGGAAAACGCCCAGAAGATTTCGTGCAATTCTCTTGTGGCAAGCTCGCCGGGAAAGACCTGCTATTGTTACCACTTTCTACCGCTTCAACGTCAAAACACGGGTTGCTGAAACCACCTCACTCAACCACTCAGTGGTGGCGACTCAATCAAGGCTGAAGAAAACCACGCGGCAAAGAAGTGTCCACAGGTTACCAGATCTGAAATGTGGCAACTCTGCAAAGAAAGCCCCAAACGGGCAAGACAAAGTTTTTAGGCATTTGACTTTTAAGACTCCATAGGAATCTGGGAGGGTATGGTAGACACTAACGCTACCTATGCCCTCTAGCTCCGGTTACGACCGACGGTGTTTTGCGTTGTACGTTGTATAATGCTATTTCACCTACCAAAAAAAAAAAAATGTAACACACGCTGGTGAAATCGACGTGTAAACTATTGTTCATCGACGGCTTGGATAATGCGCTTGTTGTGGAGTGTGGGCCCAACACTTGAGCTTGTCGTGAAGTACGTGCGGTTGCATGCAAGTTGAAGCCAGTTCATAAGATTAGACGCGATGCGAGCTTCGCGCCCCGATTATGCCTCCCTATCGACCGGAAGTCCCGGCTCTCCTTTTGGTCCATCAGTTCTTGAGCTCCTTTCTCGTCCGTCATATTTAGGAAACGTCCATACCAGAATTCCCTGCTTCGAAGAATGACGTTACTATTCTGCAAACCAGTGCATTTTAAGCACTTCTCCTATCGTAGCCAGCCCAATCAAGCGTCGCTATATTTCTCTACTGGCCACCTCATTCTTTCTCAACGTCATCCCTCAGTTCGTTCATCGCATCATGACACCCCCTTCATCTCAAACCTCACGATTCCGCACTGAATCAAGCGACGAAACTTGTGACTCGTGATAAAAAAACACCGCAATTCGTAGCAGCCGTTGAGCCAGGCGCTGTCCCTTCAGCACCAGGGGACGTGACATCCCAAATCTACCAATTACCTCAGTTAGTGGGCCTCGTACAAAAACCGTCGTGAAAAATATTCAACCGCTTCACCAGGCGATATCGCAGGACCTAATAGCCTTCTTTCACTTTTATCATCAGTTATGCAACTGTGACGGTACTAGACTTGAAGCGAGCGTTGCCTTCACAGCCGTTTCCAGTCGAACATCTTCCCGAGTCCGAGCCCGACCTAAGTGAAATTCCTTTTTAAGCTCAAGCCTTAATGGCGCTGTCAGCATTCCGAAGAGGGATGCTTGGAATGTTTTCCCCCGGGGTGTTGCTGCTTCTATTGGTGTGCGCTATCCTGGATCTCGGTGCTCAAAGGAGCCATTTCTACGCGGCGGCGGCAACAAAACCTGGTTTATCTTTTGCCAGTAAGACGACGACTCGCGAAGGTTCGCTACGGTCGAAACGGAGTAACCACTTCATCTTTCTTCGCCGACGCCTTGTGGCTGGTCTTATAGTGCCAGACAATGCTGCGGATGGGACAGTAGGTACGCCTGGTGATACTACTGAAGCCCGCGCTACAGTCAGCACGCCTAACCCCTCCTCCACAAGCAACTCGACCTCGTCTTTCGATGAACGCAGTCGCGAACGGGCGGGCGACTCAAAGGACGTCAGCGTGCGAAGGAGTTTGACTTTCGCGAGCGTGCGAACTCATGAGCTGGGCCGACTAGTTGGCGAACGCAGCGGAAAAACGATCTTCTTGAGGCGGGCTAGCGGCGGAGTGAATTCGGACGGCTCGCAATTAAAAGCGCCAAAATCTGCCGGGAACACGGTGGGCGGAAGCTTCGTGCGCAGAGTGCGCGAGTTCCTTACGGGGTTGCCTTCGAAGGGAAGCCAACAACAAAAAAAGAAGCCCGGGAGTGCGATCACTATTGCTACGACTCGAGCTACTAGTAGTTCTATCCAACCTAGGACGTCGTCGAATAAAGTACGTGCAGCGGAAACGCGGGCAGCGTGGGAAGACGACGACGACTACGAGCCGGCTACTTCTGGAGCGTAAAAGGCGCCTCAAGAGTCGTAGAAGCAGGGAAAATAGAATAATGGTGACGAGAGGAACCCTGAAATTGGTGGAGGCTGCTTTTTCGCGCAAGTTTTAATAGTGGACTCTAGCGGTCGATGTATAGTCGTAATTGTGGATTACAATAAGTTCCTGGATACCCCATGATGATTGGAGGAAGCCTTGCTAGTATTTTTAGATGGAACCACTGGTGCAACTTTTATTTCCAAACAGCTTTTGATAACAAGGCATGTGTCGCACAAAAGAGCAGCTACATGCAAGAGGGAGGACACATCCCTTGAAGGAACCTAAGGAACCGTCTACCCTATTCAGCACCTAGACATACTAAGCAGAGGGTATCTATCCCCCCGTGGCCTAACCTAGAAGCTTCTCCAACTGTTGCTATCGATCAGTCGATGCACTGTTGTCGACGCACCACCCACCAACTGATTAGCCATCCTGTGTAAACACCCTGCCCAGTTGGCTGGGCAGAGCGGTAAAACAAAACGTTGCGCGTAGAGCTTCCTCGAGTGTTTTTATTGGTCAGCTGTGGATCGGGCAGCAATGAGTCGTGTCAAAAACTCCCGTTGCTTGGTGTCACTATAATCACAAGGGAAGAAAAGGCAAGGGGATTATGAATAACCGGGTAAAACGGGGAAAATGGGTAATTATGGGTGTACAGGGTTACTGAAGCATGTAATGGACAGAGAAAGTGCGCACAAATGAACTAAAAATCACAATCAAGTCAACGTTTTTTCTCTTACCTGAAGAGCACTTGTGCATGTTGGTACGTCTCATTGTACATAAACTCTACACCCTTCTCAGTGAGCATCCTGCAGTGGGCGAGAGGAGAGGGGGGAGACGAGCAGAGGCAGACAGGGAAGGACAGGGAAGATGAGAGGTGGTCAGGGGGGAGACAAGAGCGCTTGTGCGTATCCTGCAGATTATATATAGGTTGGTACGTCTCATTGTAGATCAACTCCACACCCTTCTCAGTGAGCATCCTGCAGCGGATGAGGAGAGGAAGAGGGGGAGAAGGGGTTAGGGGGACGGGAGACAGCTGTGACTAGGTGCTAGAAAGAATGTGCTTATAGTGAAGGGCTCAGACACGATTCTGCCATGTACCAACAGAGACAGAAAAACGGTCACTGCAGGGCAGTGGTGACAGTACAACAAATGCCGACTCACATGTGATGATGCTCTGTATTATCATAAATCCACATGTGACTAAAAAGAGCACAAGGGTCTTGTTTTGAGGCCCTCAAATTTAGCAGCAGCACATGTAAGTAGAGCATGAGGGGCTTACGTCTTGATGTGGTTGGACGGCACAATTTGATCCTGGCCGCCCATTAGCACCACTGACTGCTGACGTGGCATCTCCTCAGGCCACAACATGCACGCATGCCTGTACAAGGAGGGCGGGGGATTTGGCCAGGGGGAAGGGAACTTAAGTTTTGCTACATGTCAAAACAGCAAGCATGCAGACTTTGAAAGGGTTTTGGGGAGAATAAGAAACACTCTTTAACCAGCTGTAGCATAGATTGAATCATTCTTGTCGAATTGGAATGTAGAAAACGGAAATTCGATGCAATCAGTCTCTCACCAGTCAAAGTTGCGGGAGAGAGATCGGGCCACCTGGAGCTCTCTGGCGCAGAAGAACCATCTCAGGCCGTCCATTATGTTCTCTGGGGTCCTGGGGGCAACGAGAGAGGACAGGCCGGGAGGCAGAGAGGGACAGGGAGGGAGAGAATGAGACGACCGACAGTGCCAGCAACCACCTCAGCTCTCGTCTCAGGACAGTGGCACAGAAGAACCATCTCAGTCTCAGGCTGTCCACTACACTCTCTGAGGTCTGAGGGGGAAGCAAGAGACACAACAAGAGGGAGAGGGAGGAGAAAGAGGCAGGAAGGCAGGAAGGGGTAGGGGGGGAGCATGAGAGGTTGTAGATTAATGTTGGGAGCGTCTTGGGGATGCAGAAGAGGGAGCCGACAGGGTAATCCCAATCACAGTCCCAGGAAAACACGAGTGCACTCATTTGTACACCATGATTGAAAATATGTATGTATATCCTAACATGGTGACTTTTGAGTCGACTCAAAAAGTCACCTTGTACACCATGACTGAATTTATATGTATCTGATGCTTGCTTGTACATCCTAGTATCCGATGCTTACTTGTAAATCATGTTGAGCAGCGTCTTGGGGATGCAAAGGAGGAAGCAGACAGGGTCCATGAGTCCCAGCGCTGCTACTGTGCTGAAATGCTTGCGCACATACTGCAAGCAGAGAGGGGGTGGTGGAGAAGAGGGGTTGAGAAGGGGAGAGAGGAATTAGCATGCAGTGGAGGAGGAAGCAGACAGGACCCATGAGGCCTAGGGCTGCCACCGTGCTGAAGTGCTTACGCACATACTGGGGGGAAGGGTTGGAATTGGGTGGGGAGGGGGTAGGGGGAGGTTAGGGTAGGGGAATGGGTCTGGCAAGAGGAAAGGAAGCAGACAGGGTTCAAGAGGTCTAGCACTGCCACTGTCCTGAAATGCGTGCGCACATACTGCAAGCAGAGAGGGGGTGGAGGAGGGGAGGGGTGGAGAAGGGGAGAGGAGTTAGCATGCAGAGGAAGGAGGCGGGAGGCCCAGCGCTGCCACTGTGCTGAAATGCGAGCACACATACGTGGCTCTCTTGAGGCCCTGCGCCTGAAGTGCCTCTGATATCACCTGGGACCATAGACCTACCCTCATCACAAACACACACTAAAATCCGCTAGTTTCAGTCACGCTTTGTTGCTCGTTATAATCACCTGTGCGAGCACGAAGGTGCCGTACGAGTGGCCGACAAACGTTGCTCTCTTGAGGCCCTGTGCCTGAAGTGCCTCTGCTAGCCCCGCCACCTGCAGAGGGGGGCGGTTGCGAGAGGGGGGAGAGGAATCACAGAAGGTGAGAGGTAACAGGGAGGAAAAAGGAAGGAGAAAGGGATGGATTATACAGGTAAGAGGCTTATACAGGTAAGAGGCTTCTACAGGTAAGAGGCTTCTACAGGTAAGAGGCTTATACAGGTAAGAGGCTTATACAGGCAGGAGGCTTATACAGGTAAGAGGCTTATACAGGTAAGAGGCTTATACAGGTAAGAGGCTTATACAGGTAAGAGGCTTATACAGGTAAGAGGCTTATACAGGCAGGAGGCTTATACAGGCAGGAGGCTTATACAGGCAGGAGGCTTATACAGGGAAATTATACTTAGGGAAGCCTTACACAGAGAGAAAGCTTATGCAGAGGGTAGGCTTACACAGAGGAAAGCACTACAACTCACAATATCGCCAATAGTTGGTGAGGCGGAGGAGAGGCGGAAGAGCTGAACAGGGGAACGGGCCACAATTCCCAAGGTACAACCCACGACGCAGAGGGCACAAGGCGCACGGCAGAACTCACAATGTCGTCAATAGTTGGTGAGGCGGAGGAGAGGCGGAAGGCTAGATGAGGCATTTCTGCCACGATGAATTTCTGTGGAGACAAGAGGGGAAGGGCGGGGGGAGACGGGCGTGGAAGCAACAGGGAATAAGGGATGAGGAAAAAGGTGAGGACTTAGGGTGGAGGACAGGCGGAAGGCTAGATGAGGCATTTCTTCCACACTATATTGCTGTGGAGACAAGAGGGGGAAGGGCGGGGGGAGACGGGCGTGGAAAAAAAGGGGAAGGAGTGAGTGCTTAGGAGTGAGTGCTTAGAAGGCGAGATGAGGCATTTCCGCCACAATGAATTTCTGGAGGGAGGCGAGGAGAAGGGCGGCAATGGGAAGGGAAGGGGAGCGGAGAGTGGGGGAAGGGAGAGTGGGGGGAAGACGAGGGGAGAAGGGGGTGAGGGACATCAGGGTTGACAGGGGGCGAAGGAGATAAGGAATTAACGTCAATGCACAAACACCACCCCCTCCTCCTCATCCTCGCTATAACAGTAAACACGTTTTAATACATGGACAGCTTAAGTGTACTAACCGTGTTGGGGTACGTCCTCTTCATCATTCCAATGAATCCGAGGTAAGGCGTAAGGCCAATCCCAAGGCCATGCACAACCACCACCCCCTCCTCCTCATCCTTGCTATAGTAGTATACCCATCATAAGATATAAACAGATTAGCTGTACTAACCTTGTTAGGGTAGGTCCTCTTCATCATGCCGATAAATCCAAGGTAAGGCGTGAGGCCAATCCCCAGCCCGTGCACAAACACCACCCCCTCCTCCTCATCCTCGCTATAATCCACACTCCCACCAGCTACACTCGAATACGCAGGGTACGGCACACTACCACTCTCCCTGCTCCCGCTGCTGCTGCTACTGTCACTGCTGCTGCTGCTGCGAAAACTGCCGCCGCTGCACCCAAAGCTCATGCCCCTGCTGCTGCTGTCGCTATCCGTGCTCTCCCCGCTGTTATTGCTGCTCCTGCTGCCAATCCCGTCAGCACTCCTTTCAGCGTTGGTGTGAGCGTCAGCGGAAGCAGCAGAGAGTCTGTTGATCATGGTGAAAGCGGTGGAGGAGAAGGAGCGGCGGCGGGGCTCCCTGACCCAGTACTTGAACCCGTCCGCTGTGAAGTGCTTTGTGAAGCCCAGATAGCGCATTGCCAGAGAGGTGAGACAGCCTATGATGTGGCCCCTGCGTGTAGGGAAAGGGGGGGAGAGGAGGGAACGGTGGGGGGCAGACGGAGAACGGGAGCAGGAAGGGAGCGAGTGCCTGAGAACGCGAAAGACGCCAAGCAAGGAGCCACTCGTTACAGAAAGAACGATACGTTAGAGGATGAAGAGAAACGTACCAGACGTAGAGAATGAAGGGGTGCAGAATGGCGCGGATGGGTTCCCGGCAGTGCGACATGAATCGCACCTCGGGCTTTTTCCTCCTGCCCCACCCGGCCATACCACCACAGCCAATCACAGCCGCCGCCGCATCTGCCGCATCCGCGTCAGCATCATCAGCAGCGGAATCAGCAGTACCGTCGCCAGCGCTAGTGGCACTGTTTTCCTCCACTGCTGTTCCTGCCTTCTCCTCTTCCAGTGTGCAAGGATATACGGCCTCTCCGCTTTCCGAACCAGCATCATCATCTTCCTGTAAGGTTCCGACGGTTTTCGAAGCCTTGACCACCGGACCTGCTGCCGGACCTACTGCCGAGGCTGTAGCTGGCTCGGTTAGGTGCACGGGTTGATAGGCGGAGAAGGAGGGGCGCGCGGAGAGGGGCGGGGAAGCGATGGCGGCGGAAGCGGAGGGGGAGGGGGGCGCGGGAAGGACCTCGGGGAAGATGAGGCCAATAGCGCGCTCCGTTCTAACCACGTGGTCTGGAAGCGGGGGGGAGAAGCGGTGGGGGGGAGGGGATGGAGGGGGTGGGGAAGGAAAGAGGAAAGAACGTGAGCGATGGGGAAGAGCGGAGGCACGACGGGGGGATGCCATGACGACGGGATATGAGAGGAACAGTCTACAGCGTAAGAGAGCGGCCTTGAAACTAGTCAAGCGATCGGCCGTAATCACGCACGTGATTGGCCTATGATGTAAGAGCGTTTGTGAGCGATCTAGGAACGAGTCAACTGATCGGCTGATTATCGCACCTCGGACGGCTTCCTGGTATTCCGGAGTGAGCTCGTTATAAAACCTGGGCGACCAAAGGCGAGAACGGGGGAAGGGGGGAGGCGGGGGGGAAAGGATGGTAGGAAAACGGAGCACGGGAAAGGGGGGAGGCGGGGGAAAAGGAGGTAGGGAAACGAGCACGGGGAAGAAGGGGTCAGAGGAGGTCAGAGGAGGACCATGAGGTGTCAGGACTTTTTGAATCGGATTAAGAGAGAATGTATCACGTGTCGACTCAAAACTGGACTCAGAGGGAACGTATCACGTGCTACCTCGAAAAAGCAAGTATCGAGGAACTATAATCGCGTGCTAGTAGACTAAAAAATGGACTCAGAGGGAACGTATCACGTGCGACCTCGAGAATGCAAGTACATAGGAACGATAATCACCTGTGGTAGAAACCGAAGGAGATGAACTGTCGCACATGTTCGCGAGTTAGGTCTTTCACTCGCGTGCCGAGGAACCAGCCTCCGACAAACTCCTCGTAATCCACGTATTTGCTGTAAATGCGACGTCGCGGGGAAGAGGAGGGGGTAGCAAGACAGGACGAAAGAAATGGAAAACATGTTAAAAAGGAGGAACAACCTCCGACAAACTCCTCGTAATCCACATACTTGCTGTTGATGCGACCCCAGGAAAGTAGGGGGAAGCAATGTGGGTGCGAACAGCACGTCGACAGCACAGGAGAAAAAGAAATCACAAGAAAAGGAAATGAGACGGGAATGTGGTACCTAGGAAGTATATATACAGGAGTACTGGACAGCTGATGCAAGTATGGTCAGTTTCGGAATGTAACAAAAGCAGAAGTGTGTGAGCGAAAAATGCTACGACCAAACTAAGCTAGGAAGTGAAACGGAGTGGAGGAAAATTACCAGCGAAGCGATCAAACAGACTCAGGCGGAAGCGGAATTTCCAAGGTTGTCGGAACTCCCAAGGTGGGCGGGTAAGGCACGTACGCTATAGCGAGGACATGATCGAGGAGGGACTCGATGCTCTCGATAGAAGGAAGCGGGGGGTCAATGAAGTTGTCACTCCAGTGGCAGTACTGCTGGTACCGGACGTATCTGAACACCGCCTGCAATACACGAATATGAACAGTTTTGGTGAATATAATATAAAGAACCAGTTCACAAAAACGGTAGAATTCATGACGTTCATTTGGCGATGCAATATGAAAACGAGACGTTGTGGGTTACAGATATACACTCACCTCCACAAGGATCCAAATGGGGAAAAGGCCCACGAAGATAAGGAAACATGAAAAACTCGCTGTAGAGAGAATCGTTATAAGCACGAAGGACCTGATATGCAAAGACGGCCAACGAGAGGAAGGAATATAAGCGGGTTTGAAGTGATCGCAAACCAGACGGGGCGACCGAGGGGGGGAGGGGTGAGCGTTGAAAGACAAGGGGAGGGGAGGGAGGGAGGGGAAGGGGGAGGAAGGGATGCGAGGGGGGGAAAGAAGGGATGGGGAGAGGGGCGGGAAGGTAATGGATGCTATTGACGCCTCTGACTTCGTTTAGGCAGTAGAGCATTCCCCTCCTCCCCTCCCCCCCCCCCCCCCCCTCCAACAGCCTTTTCGCCAGCTCCCTCACAACGCGCCTGGTTCCCACTCTCTCCTCCCACCAGAAGCACCCCCCTCTTACCTCTCCCCACTCTCCCACTCCCCACCCCCCCCTTCCCCCTTCCGCCAGCTCGCTCACAATACGCCTGGTTCCCACTCCTTCCTCCCACCAGAAGCAACCCCCCCCCCCCCCCTCTTCTCCCTCACCCGCTCTTCCACTCAATTCTCCCCTCCATCCCCGCCCCTTGCGCGTGTCTCCGCATCCCGCTCTTCCTGTCCACCTGCCTTACCTCCCCGTCACATTTCACCTTGAAATTTAGATATCCTCGCTTTTCAGAACCCGTTACCTCCTGAAGACGTACGATTGCGTTTAGGAGCTCTCCTATTCCTGGCTACTTACCAGGTGGAAGCGAACCATTTATCCGCCAGCATGTCCCGGTATGCCTGGCTTGGCGAACGCTCAAATCGCGTGCCGCTGGTAACCCGCTCGCTCTTTCTCGCCTCGATCTTGATGGAGTCGCACGGCGACGTCGCATTGTTGCATGCGACAGTCGTAGGAAGTCGGAGCTCGGGAATTGGGATGGAAGGTATACACGCTGCAGGCGACCACGGGCTGCTATTCGGCGGCATCTTGACGCGAGGCTGTCAATAACGGGTACAGGTCGTACGCTGGTTAAACGCCTGGGACTTTGAAGAAAATCGCCGTAGTTCGCTAAAGTCGAAACTGCGGGTGAAAGATTGGCGAAAGCAATGCGGGCGCTCAGAGATGATGTTGAGCGTCAGAGTTGCCGCTGACTGGCGGAAAGAATGAAAGAATGGAAAGGGTTGAGGACGGTTGCCGGTTTGTCGCCCCGGCTAACGCATCACAAGCCAAGCTACGTCTCGAGCATTCAGCTGACGCCGTGGTTCCGCAGTGCAGCACGGAACACGGAACACGCAGTTTTAGTATCTATGGCTTGCAACACGGAATGCGCTTCAAAGGCTCCGCAAACGCCTCTAGGACTTGTAACACGCACTCGAGCGTGCCTCAGATGCCTCTACGGCTTCAAGTGGACCCTTGTAAGGGGATCTAAGGGTTGTGGCTCGCACGTTGCGAGGAATATGGGTTGGGTGGAGGCTAGCGAAAGGCCGAGAGGCACGCGCGGTAAAGAGAGAACGGAGGAGGGGAGCAAGGAATTGATGTGGATAGGAGATGGAGAGGCGAATTGGAGGAGAACGGCAACGCGATAGGAGAAGGCGAATGGAGACGGTGAAGACTGGGCAAGGCGCGACGTGCGCGGAGAGAATGGGTGGTTGCGATGCGATGAAACGACGTGCGCTCTCTGCTAATGAACGAGTACGTGCCGTGTGCCGTGCGGGCTTGGAAGGGGGACAGCTGACAGCCAAATAAATAATTCGCACTGGCTTTGTCGGGGATAGGTTGATAGAGCAGGAACATTCTCTGGAGGGGGTTTGTGGCTGTAATGCCAGAAATCATGGAGACCCGTCTCGGGAGTTGCGCGGATGGAGAGAGGGGCGAAAGATGCGGAATTGGTTGGCACCTTGACGTAGTGTCGAAAACGTAGGAGCAAGCAGCCAGCCAGAGCGGCGTGGCTCGGTTAGGAGCGGTTGGAGGGCGTGGGTAACCAGGGGTTTGGTTCGGTGACAGCACAGCTCGTTAGCAGTTTTCTAGAGCTGGCCAGGCTAGTTCTTGCTGCTGCTTCGACCAACAGGGTTCGTCAATGCCAAAAACAGTAGGGGCGCTGCTACCTCCCCGCGCCCGTTCCCCTGTTTCTCCCGCAACTGGTTTGTTTCGCAAGGTTTCACTTTTGCAAAGTTGTCGTGGCGCGGGGCATGATGCCCGTGCGATGGGTTTCCTGTTTTGAGATGGATGGACGGGATGCTCAGATTTTGCTTCGGCGGACGGCTCGATGGATGTGAAACGCGTAGGGTGTGGCGAGAGCGCGACTTGTTCGGAACATCCTGGCGAAAGGTTCGTGACTATGCGGTTGCACCGAGTGGCCTGCTTTGCACAAAGGTTCGCGAGCGTGCGACATACAAGACTTCAATCGCAGAAAAAGCGGCAGGGTGGGTGATGTCGCACTCCGGAACACGACAGCCACCTCTGAAGTGCGTCTCCAGACGTCCTGAAGATGTGGCCGCTGTATCATTCGGCGAGTGAAAGTCACATCGAGATGTTTCTGCCCGATGTTTTCGGTGGGGTTTCAGCAAACTGCAGAAATGTAGCCTCAGCCCATCAGCGCAGTTACAGTACTTGGTGAAAGGGGCTAAGCGACGCGAAACTTTTTCTTTGGCTCCAAGGCCTGGGGTCCTAACGGGACGACCAAGCCCAAACCTTTCAACTGTGCAGCGACACGGTGAAATACGGGGAAGGCATGGAACGTGGGGGAACGAAGCGCTTCGGTTTCCCGCACAGTGCCGTGCCCACTGAGTCAGACACTACGTGGCAGTGGCACGACCTCATCAGCACTGGAGCTGCGTCAAGAAAAACATATCCACGTCATCCTCGATCACTGGAGAAGTTGAGAAGCTATTGGATGCTTGGGATATCACCACTCAAGCTGGTTGATGCCACGTGCTGGCATACATATGTGACTCTAACAGCAGATCACACCTATTTTCAGTTGCAGCATGAGACTATACTGTATATATATTACCCTATTATTACCCACATAGAAAATTTCCGAGTGTGTGTACTTCTCAACATCCAACACCTTCAGCATTTAGGGCACCTTTTTATTTACTTGTACCAGCGTCCGTGACTACAGAAAGTTTGCAGAATCTGGAAAGCCGCAAGACAGGCCATATCGCGTACTAAGGGAACCCGACTATCATCCAAGCCCCACAAGGCCGCATTGCTAGTACCGTAATACGATAGCGCGTCTCGGTTTCCTGCTTCGCCCGCTTCTCCCCTCGGCTTCCTTCTCGGGCTTTCGTCCGTCAAATCCTAGTGACTCGGTCCGATCCAAGACCCGTTCCGGTCGTTACCTTTTCAATGGCAAATCCGTTGTTCACCGGCCAATGACCCTCCACTCCTGAAGGCGAGGAGGTGAGTCATCGAACTGTCGCTTGCGCGATCTCCTGTTCATCGCATTGTCGCCTGCGCAATCTCCTGTCGTCGTACTGTCGCCTGCGCAATCTCCTGTTGTCGTATTCATCGCGATGTTCGTCGCAGCGTTATCTCGCTGTTTCGAGGTTTCCCAGAGTCGACGCCAGCCAATGCTGACGCCGGCCAATGCTGACGTCAGTCAGACGGCACAAGGCGCATCAGTTCCACTTTGCCGGCTGCCCAAAGGTTGGTTCGCGAGGCTCTTATTTTTTGTGAGACCCTCCGACAGCGAACCAAAGCACTGGCCCCGTGGTTTCCCTTTCTTCCGCTTCGCCCATTTCGCGCATTTCGCTAGCATATTCGTACGATCTTCGCCACAGGCTTTCCCCCAGAACATGCTGCGCTGGCCAAGGAGCGCGAGGTGCAGAACATGCTGCGCTGGTGGCCGGGCTACGAGGCCTGCCAGCTCACCCTGCTCCCTGCCCCCTTCTGTCTCTCCCTGTCCCCCTCCTCTCCTCTCATTGGTGACACTTTTGTAACATTTCGCCAAGCAGGTTCGCGCAGTATTTGTAACCGGGTTTCCCTCAGACGCAACATGCCGCGCTGGTGGCCTGCCAATTCCCCTTCAAGGGCGACCAGCCTTTAGGGTTAGCCATCTTCAGCTCTCCGGCTATGGCGTCTGCTGCTGCTAGAGACGCGCTGCAGGTGGGTTTGGAAGGTGGGACAGAGGGGTGGAATGCGGTAGAATGGGATTGAAGGGTTGGGTGGCCGGGCTACGAGGCCTGCCAATTCCCCTTCAAGGGCGACCAGCCTTTAGGGCTCGCCATATTCAGCTCTCCGGCTATGGCGTCTGCTGCTGCTAGAGATGCGCTGCAGGTGCAAGAAAGGAGTGGAATGCCGTGGGGTGGGGTGAGGTAGAATGCGGTGGGGTGGGTTGGGAGGGGAGATAGGGGGTGGCCGGGCTACGAGGCGTGCCAGCTCACCTTTAAGGGCAACCAGCCTCCGGGATTCGCCATTTTGAGTACACTTGCCTGCCATGGCCTTTGCTGCTAGAGACACACTTCAGGTGGGTAGGGATGGAATACGGTGGGGTGGGATGCGGTGGGAGGAAAGAAGTAGTTGGTCAAAGGGGGGATGGCCGGGCTACAAGGCCTGTCAGCTCACGTTCAAAGGCGACCAGCCACTGGGCTTCGCTTCCTTCAGCACTTCTGCCATGCCGTTCGCCGCTAGAGACTCGCTGCAGGTGCGAGAGAGGGGTGGAATGCGGTGAGGTGGGTGGGGTGATGGTGGATTGGGATGGCCGGGCTACAAGGCCTGTCAGCTCACGTTCAAGGGCAACCAGCCACTGGGCTTCGCTTCCTTCAGCACTCCCGCCATGCCGTTTGCCGCTAGAGACGCGGTGGGGGGAAGTAGGGAAGCAGGTGGGCGGGGTGAATGCAGTGGGGTGGGGGGAGGAGGGAAATAGTTGGTGCGAGGGGGTTAGAGAGGGGCTGCGGAGCAGTGTTGCTGCTGCCGCTCATCTGCCCTTTCTGCTTTTGGATGCCATTCCGTCCCTTCCTCCCTCCCCCAGGGTCTCATATTTGATGCGAACCATAACTCAGTGCTGCGAGTGGAGCTGCTGCTTCTGCTGCTGCCTCACTGATGCTTCATGTGTATGTGTGTACTGTTCCCCTTCCGCAACCCCTGCACAACTCACTCACGCCGTCCCTCCCTTCCTTTCCCTTCCCTTCCCTCCCTGCCCCCCCACCCACCTCGTCAGCAGCAGGAGCACATAGACATGGATCCGGAATACATCGACAACTTTGCCGCTGCCATGCTCCTGTCAATGTCAATTGACAATGGTGACAAGAGTAGCGACGACAGCGACAGTCAATCTCCCCTCCCCCCCCACCCCCCGCATCTCGTCATCAGCAGTAGCACGTGGACATGGATCCGGACGGATTACATCAACGACGACTTTGTCGCTGCCATGCTCATCTCAATGTCAATTGACAATGGTGACGAGAGTAGCGATGACGGCGACAGTCAATC